GCGAGTAGTTTGTGAGCGGCTCTCTAATGCGCTAATATGAACGGATCACTATGCACCTGTCATCTGAATTTACATCTCACTTGGGGCAGGCCGGGTGCCGGTCAGCGCAAAGCGGCCACCGTGTGGCGCCATTGCTGCAAACAGAGGTGCCCCCCCTCTCTCTGAGATGCCTCCATTGACACCAGGCAGACAAACCAGCTGCTGTTCACATGCACCATTAACCCTCGACTTCCTGGTCTTAATGTTGCGTAACCAAGACTGATTACTTACTTTTTCACGCCTCCCTGTAAATAATGGATGGGTCACAGCAGCGGCCACAGCCCAGCGAATCAAATACGGACATTCTAGGAATGACTAACTGTCCATTTACCTGACGTGTTCCATCAGTTTTGAGTAGCACAAGGTAAACTCTTAACTAAGGTAGACAGTTTATTTATGATAGCAAACACTCTTATCCAGAAAATCGTACAAACATTTACTATTTAACCCATTTGTGCAGCGAGACATAAAGGGAAACAGTTCCAACTGCAGCATCACTAGCTGGGATTTCAACCTGGTTCCTGGTGTTCAGTGATCCAACTTCCTCCCAAAAAAAACCATTGTGATCAGAAAACACAAGTGTGTCTCCATGACCCTACCTGAGATTTTCTTTTCCTAAATGAATTGCCCTTCAGCTCATCTTCCTGGCACCATTCATTCATTGAGTGATTTTGCTGGTAGGTGATTTAATATTTGACATAATTCAATCTCGAACTTTAACATTAAGACATACACTTCCCGAGGCTGGAAAAAACAAAAATATGAGAACTCTTGAGCACAACAGATCAAAGATAAAAACAAGAATTACTTTTATATCAGTATATCAGACATTGCATCACAGATTTAATAAGTGCTTATTTCAGCAATCTACCCATACATTCTTGAGTTTTTTTCCATGAAATGTAATTAAAGATATAATCATATTATTTGATAACGAAGGACTTAAAAGGTTAAAATTTAATTTCATTCATGATGTTCATGTAACATTGTTAATTAGACATTTCATATTTTGTTTCTGCCCCCTGTCCTGTATTGTTCCCCGCCTCGTACCCGTGGCTTCCAGGATAGGCTCCGGACCCCCCGCGGCCCAGAAGGATAAGCGGGTTGGAAAATGGATGGATGGATGGATGGATGGATGTTTTGTTTCTTCATTGAGTCCAGATGTTTTTAATTTTTTCTTACCATCAAGTGTTGTTTTCATTGTGTTTCTTCTAAAATGTATTATTGGAATTTTTTTGGAGTACAGAACGACTTTATAGGTTTTAATCTTAAAAAGCTTTTCAAATCATGGAGCAGGAGACAATAAAAAGGTCATCCGATCCACTATTAAAATCAGCTCTTGTTAAACTGAAGCAAGATTCACAAGTTTAATTTAGCTATTTAACTAATTAAATTAAACAGAAAGCTGACAAGTGGTTGAAACCTAGATCAGTGTTTGGTTCACCTGCCGGTCATATTAACCCTGAACACACATCAAACGTCATGCATCTGAATGATAGCATCCGTATTAGATTTCAGAGCAACGATGCTTCTGAAGCAGACATTTCAAAGTTTTTGAATTTATGGCCTAGAGCTGCGCCCCCATCTCCCCTTCAGGTAACACAAAGCCCATTCTGATCGCTGACAGACTTCAGCATACTGCTATAGAAGCATAGGTATTACTGATTTATCATGTGGAGTCATCATATATAATGTAATCATTTTTACAACTTGCAGAAATATTTTTTCTGCAAGTTTTCTACCTTTTCGGTGTCCTATGCAGTGCAATTTCTTAGGAAATGTCAGCACATACTTCTTGTTCAAATCACACTTTGATTCTTTGGGCTTCTCCCCCTGACATCTGTCGTATAACATTTCTCTGCACCTGATAACCTCCCCTCATGAGTGCATGTTAATTAGTCGTCTCCTCTTTGTTACCCAAAGCGTATAAAAATACCAGCAAATTCCAGTGGAGGGCTCTGCAGCACCGCACACTGCTTTATTCTAAAAGTGCTCAGCTCTGGCTCCAGAAAGTGCACCCATTTGCACGGGTCTGTCAAACTGTTATGCACAGGGGGGGCAGCCCCGTCATTCCGGGGGGAAATGCAGAGCACAGAGAGCAGAAACTCCACGAACTCTACCCTCGACATGCATTAGCCGACATACAGAGGCGAAATTACACCCTCCGCAGGCAAGGCTGTGATTAGATGCTCACCGTATGGTGAGATCACACGAAGAGCAGAGCATGATGGGATACACAAAGGGCGGTATAATCACTGGCCCATGTGGGCCTCTGCTGACAGGGAATAAACCAAAATATCACTTTAACCCAGCATGCTGCGTGCAGACCAGTGTGGCCACCCTGTGGTAATAACTGTGTCTCCCTCCCAGGCTAAACATCATTTGGTAGGAGAAGATGGAAAGACAATAACCTCAGACACACCTCTGGGGAGGCCTGCTCCTCACGGCAAGTTAGCACGACACCCGCCCGTTTATCAAACCCAGAAAGGGACAGCCTGGGAGGCTGGACATGCAGAATCCGGCAGGGTTCGGATGCAGTTACATCCTCATTTAAATCAGGTTGGAGGTACAATCGAATTAGTGCTGCTCAGTCCATCGCAGACAAATGCATGTGCTAAAGTAAAAGTGAATCATGCTCTTTTTTAAAAAAAAATAAAATAACAGAAAGTAGTCCTAACAAGAGAATTCACATCACATTATCAGTCATAGGACTTTAAACTGAACAGATTTATTTTGGAAGCCCGTCAAGAAATCAGATGCCCGGAGAAGCAGTTATCCAATCACTATTGCGCATTTCCTTGACATAAAGTGTCAAAGGAATAATATTTTTTGCAATCACACTTACAAGACCTTCCCTGGTATATATCAAAGAATGATGGGTACAGTATTTAATGATTGTCTTATAGTCAGTTATATTCAATTTAAGACAAAACATTTTGCATGTTTCTTTTAACCAGACAAGAAATCATTTCAATTGCATGTGTATTCGTTAACATTAAATGAATGTACAGATGTGTCTGGATGAAGCTCTGATGAGAGAAAAACCACAGAAGCCCCAAGAATGTGTGTTCCCTGTAAACATGCCTTATTTGTGCATGAACAAGGGAGCTGCCATGGAAATGAAAGGAAGGGGTGCTGTGAATGAGACCCGGAAACACAGGATCTGCACGGACCAGCCCCACTGTCAGCTCCAGATAACACTGGTGGACATCTCAGTCTGGGGGGGCACAGTGACGGGCGTTTACTCCGAGGCGACCCTCGTTTCGGCAGCTGCGTGCCAAACCTTGGGAATGACCTCCAGCGGAATCCGCAGAGCCGGCCGTGCCCCTCAATCGCACGCAGCCGGAACATCTGCAGGGTGAGGCTGCCCAGAAGAGCCTGGTGCAGGACAGGAGGTCCCCCCCCCCCCGCCATCCCCGCCCTGGCCCATTAACTCAGCCAGGAGTCCAATTAGCACGACTCACACGGGCATCCCATCAGCCGTCGAGGTGACGGATAACCAAAGCTTTCAGGCAGCATGGAAGCCCAATCAGGTTATCCCCACTGACTGACTTTCATTTCCTTACTGGAGATGAACATGCAGGACATGCTGAGCTTCCAGAAGAGCTCGACTGGCACGAAGGACACAACAAACGTCTGACACTATTATTAATACGTTATAAATACGCATCTTAAAGAAGCTGCTTGGATTAACATCAATTCCAAAAGCAACTTAAATATTCAAGTGAAATTATAAAAAGCTATCAGACCAAACAGCTGCATCCAAAATAATGTACATACAGTCACTCCTTCATAAGGGTTAGGGGTAAAAGTTCCCTGCAAACATGAAAATTTGCAAATACTATTTTTTTTTTAAACCAAAAATAGCTTAAAATATTAAAGATATTTTACGCACTTACACTAAAAAATATTAAATAACACTAACTTTTAAATACGATTTTCAAATAATTTTCAGTATTGTTCAAAAATTTTTTGATGTTGGTTTATGCAACATCTGCGAGTTTCTGTCATCTTTTAGCGAGCTCCGGAAATATTCCCATTTAACCGTCCACGATCACCTCATGAATAACTGAAACTGTGAATGTCAAATCCGCAAATCTGGAGGGGCGACTGTAATCAGTTACATGAAACACATCAGTGGCAAAGCACTGTATTGAAAATCCCGGAGCTAAAACACTGGATTTCGTTTGATCAGTAAGAATAAATTGCAGAACTCTGATTAAAAACATCTAGGGCACGAACACTGACCAATTACAAATTACATCTTCAACCTCCATGACTTTAACTGAGAAGAAATATCCAGAAGGTTGTATTTTCAAAGCCCAACCCCACCCCATCTGCAGCACACATCCGGCTACCAGCCAAAACCATTTATTCAGTAAAGGGTCAGATTGAGCCTGGTACATACTCCCCAAAGCACAGGTCTAAAGGCGGGGGGAGACTGAATGGGATGCAAGTACATCACAAGCAGCAACAATGGAGAAATAAGATGAACATATATCGCCATCTAGTGTTGACAATGTTGAACTGCTGTTTAACAGTTAAGGCTTTCATACTTCCAAGGAAGAATACAGCGGTATCGCTCCTCTTCGGGCACAGCCCAGTAACACAGGAAGTCTGTGAGGTCGTGCTGGCCTGAGTCTGCAGTTGCCCGGACCAGGAATCCGCAGGATGGTGTGTCTGCAAATTTGGACATTCCCATTTCGGCACTGAAGGCCGCGGCCGGACAGTCATTTACGGTGGACTTACGTCATTTACGGTGGACTTACGTCATTTACGGTGGACTGAAAGCTATAAAGCCACAGCAGATGGAGATTTATCTAGATGCAGAGACAGTCATTAGCAGCAGACAAATTTGTTCAGTCACTGTAACTGCTTCCAGACAGCTGGCAAGCAGAGAACAGAACATTTGGCTCATTATTTATTGCATTTAATTGAAAATAAACAGGACATGCAATTGGTCTGTTTTAGACATCATGAAGTTTATTATTTTCCGTAATCAGAGGTAGTTCAGACAACTTACTGTAGTTCTCAAATGAAACTGCTAGTTACCAACTGTTTTCTCTCCATATTATTAAATGATGTTTAATGACATGACAACTACTGGAATTATTCTGTTTCATACCAAAATATTAGAAGATGAAGCATCACAAGTGGCATTTTAAAATATATAAGTAAACTAATTAGTAATCCATTTGTTTTTATGTAAATGTTTAAAATGTGACTCTAAAAATGTGAAATCATTTAAATGGACATAAGCCTGATACATTTGTTTATAGTGTTATAAAATCTGGTTGCTTTTCTCTATGTAATTTTTCTATTGCTTTGTAAAATCAAACTTACTAGAACAAAGACTGTCAGAGGCATGGCTATGATTAACAATGCAGATGGGGTAAATCAGCATGTTACCAGTGAAGTCAGCTTTGTCTGCCATTTTAAAGCATGCAGTCAAAAGCTGATGAAAATATCCAAAGGGGTATAGAGAGATTTAACTGCTCATACTGTATAGGTCTATGCATCAGAATCACAAAACTGGGAAAGACTTCCTATTATTTTTAGGAGTAACATTTCAGTAACTTGTTAACCAGATAAGAACCATTCCCAGATAGCTATAAGGTACCATAAATTTCAATCGAATAATTTAATGTTTTCCTCTAGCCACATTCGTTTTAAAATTTTTAGCATTATTGGTGAAATTCCACACAATTTTGCATCTGAAAGTGATGCAACACCAGGGTGCCAGTGCTCATTCCTCAGCGTGGCCTGGTACGAATCTGTGCACTGGATGAGACTTTCTCCATCGCACGTCATGAGCGGTCCACACCTGAGAGCGGTGCGAATAAACACCTTCCCAAGATGCATTTATCAAATCAACTCGCTTTATTGTTGGTCAACCTTATCTGGATTGGAGAAAAAAAGAAACACCCTGGTAAGAAGGCTGGGGGACATTATCTTTGTCATAATGCAATTCAGAATGCCAGGCAACTGAAACTTCATGCGCACAGACCACACCTTTGGGGACAAACTTCAGCGAGCTGCTGAATATTCAGAAGCGAGACTTCCCTTCTTTCGGACCGTCATTTATGAATTCATGACCCAGTCCACTGCCACACTTCCCACAGACCACCTGAAACATCCAAAGGTCGCAAAAAGCATTTCCTTCTTAGCTTCCATTACTTCTTTGGTGTTAGGGCTGGGTATTGACACTGAGTCCCGGATCGATTCAATTCCGTTTCTGAAGGTTTCGAATCTATTTGATGTCCAATTCAATTCAACTTGATATCGATTTGATTAGAGATATTTCAGTAACAATACCAATTTCGCTTGACTAGGAAAAAGATTCTCAGAGAACTGTTGAGGTAAATTGTACAAGGAACCCTCTAATCTGATACGTTAATAAAAATATTAATATGTTGATTAAGAACTTCCCCCAAAGCATTAAATACATTTTTTTTATTAACATGACCAGTAAGTTGTGGATTGGACGTTTTTGCAGATGTCTCATCTGGATGATATCTCGTTAAGTGGTTTTTGGAGATTTGGAGTATTTCCACAGTGTTTCATCTCCCTTTTGCACGTCTTACATACGACTTTATTTTTGTCCAGCTCTACACTGTCTTCATATTTCCGGAATCCGAAATCCAGACATCTGCCTTCAGGGGAGCAACCCCCTCCATGTTTTTTGCTCTGATTTTTTCTGCCAGATCTCACTGCGGGAGGCTGGCCAGGCAAGACTAACAGAGTTAATGCTCAACACATCCATGGAAAAAGGCCATAAACTGAAAAAGGCATGCATTATAAAAAAAAGTCTTTCTTGGGATTTTATGAATCGATTTCAGATTATGCAAATGAAGATCAATCTGAATCAGAAAATTGATTTTTTTTTTTTTAACCCAGCCCTACTTTACATCGCTATTCCAAAATATAAGTTCAATAATCTTTTTAACAATCATTAAACATCTCTACTCAAAAAGCAATTTAGTATCAGAGAACGGTAGAAAACCACTACTGGGGAGGTAAGTGGCTCATAGGGGTTAGACCTCTCTGCCTGTCATCTGAAGGTCACTGGTTCAAATAGTCAGCAGAATATTAACATTGCTGTTGGGCTCTTCAGCAAGGTCTATAATACTGAAAGATGCAGTGTTTCCCAACCCGGTCCTCAGCTGGGATGGAGAAAAAATATGGAATATCTGGCAAAGACCTGGGAGGGAGCAAAAACATGGATAGTCTGGGGTTCCCTGAAGACCGGGATGGGAAACACTGCTATAGAGGCACTAATTGGCTGACCCTGTGCTCTGACACCACCGTTATTCTCACATGAGGTGAGCAAGATGGCATATGTGAAAACTGTATTCCTATGTACCCGTACTTGTATAAACGGCAAGTATAATTTCATTTCTTTTAAGAGAACCAAGTGGTTCAAGCAGTACTCTGCACACACACCAGTTTAACTTACTACCAGGCTACATGAATATGCACCACTGAAAATCACCCATCTGTCCTTCACCTTGAAGGCGGTGGGCCTCTCCTCGTGCTTGCTGACACTGTCTGCACGGATGGTTTCCGTGAAGGCAGGCCAGGGGGAGGAATGCTCGTACTTCGATCGGCTGGAAAACAGGGGGTGGTCACACTTGGAGCACACATAAATACCTGAGAAGAGAAAAGATGTAGAAAATTACCTAAATTAAAATGGACTATGTTCCATGTGTAATCCAGTTATTTTTTCCATTTTGGCTTCAGGCCATAATATATCACTTCAACTTTCAAGATGAGAACTGAAAACAAGCAGTTCCTGCAGCTGGTAATGGGGATTGCTCTTCAGATGACTATGGAGGAGCCAAGACTACATGGAAAAGCACAACATGAAAGGCTGGCAACTTCCATTATATAACCAACACCATACAATACGTACATCATGGTTACCAAATCATCACAGAAGATTTCCAGAAAGGAATTCTTATCCAACTATGTAACTGCTAACATTAAAGGGCTTTTCTTCAGTACTAATAAAGCCACCTTTTAAATCCAATAACACACATGTTGTCTCCTGACACATAGATTTCATCAGCAAAATACAAAAATTCGAATAGACAGAGTTATATTTAGGACACTAAAGAAATGGTAGCCTTTCTCTGCATAAATTGTAGATTTTTTCCAAGTGAAGCCGAGGGCTTTTCAACTAATACGTCTAAAAAAAATCTGTAGTGGAAATCATTTTAATTCACTGGTTTTTCTTGACGGCTGACCTGGTATTCATTACTCTTTGGCAGCTCTACTGGTACGGTTGCTATTATTCAGGCAACTAGTGTGTAATGGATCGCACATGTATTTGTAATCACCGGAGCGAAACCACGATTATTAGATGATTACATAATAATCTGACGTTTCGCGGGCGCGGACCACCTGCACGCGAAATGTCAAACCACTTACTCGCAGCCAGTTTAATAACCAGCTGAGACACCTGACGCGGACGCAAAAAAACTGTGATTATTTTAGTCACGTAGACAGTAATCTAATATAACTCTAGTATACGATAATATTTCATTTCAATTTAAATATATCCACAGATAATGACATTAGGAGTTAATATAATTAGCTAGTTACTTCAACTTGACTAGAAAACAAACTTACCAGGTTTGAAGTGGTCTTTATAGGACTCTTCCCCAAAAAACGAGCAAAATGACATGTTTAAGACTACACTGTCGAATAGCGAGCATATGACTAAACAAAAATCCCGAACAAACTCAGCTGCAGCAACCAGGCGGATGTCAGGTTGAACTGGATGTCACGTGACATGCAAAATAATCACGTGACTCCAGGTGCATCCTTTCTTTTTTTGCCACAAGATGGCGATATTCCTATAATGTATATTCTGGTTTTCAGCATCTCGGCTGCAGTTATTTGACATAATATATTTCTTTACCGTCATTTAAAATTATGAATTGTATTGTTCTCCAATTATAACTCTAGTATACTCAAAGTAATTTCATACATTTCGGTTTGGCACCAGGATGCACTATGGTGAGATGTCAAGCCGGCGGAGTCAGCGTGATGCTCTGGGCAAAGTTCTGCTGTGAAACCTTGGGTCCTGGCATTCATGTGAATGTTACTTTGACATGTATCACCTACATAAATATTGCTGCAGACCAAGTACACCTCTTCATGGCAATGATATTCCTTGATGGTAGTAGCCTCTTTCAAGATAATGCACCCTGCCATACTGCAACAAATTTTCAGGGATGGTTTGAGGAACATGACAAAGAGTTCAAGCTGTTGACTTGGTTCTCAGTCTGATCAGCACCTGTGGGATGTGGTGGACAAACAAGTCCAGTCCATGGAGGCCCCACCTCACAACTTAGAGCACTTGAAGGATCTGCTGCTAATGTCTTGGTACCAGATACCAAAGGACACCGTCAGAGGTCTTGTAGAGTCCATGCCTCGGCAGAATAGAGCTATTCTGGCTGCATGAAGGAGCCAATATTAGGTAGGTGGTTTTAATGTTATAGCTAATCTGTGTATTGATAAATGAGGCCTTCTTTCTCTTTCAGGGTAAAAACAGAATTACAGAAGCAATAAATTTAAAATTTAATTATGAGTTTTTGCAAAGAAATTTTCACATCTTTGCCCATTCTTTATGCATTTGTAACTAAGAAGCTGAACCTCTGATCAGGGAGGCAGCAAGATTAGACACAGAAAAGAACAAAAGGAAAGACAGATCAAAAGAAAGACAACAGTAGGATTAAATAGGTGTTTAATATGCTCTATCATGTACCGAATTGCGATGATGTTCTTTGTGACTAGATGCAAAGCTTTTCTCCCTGTTTCTGAACTGTTTAATGTGTGCTTGGCATGCTCATTCACCACTGAATTATTCTCACATATGGGTCTTGCCTTTTGCGGAGTGATTCAAAGGAACATAATTGTTCTACCATCACGTCAATTTGATTTTAATGGTGGTAGGCAGTTTAATTTCCTCTCAGAGCACTAAACTAAGCCCTGCTGCTTTTGGTAGCTAGATCTATTCTTCATTCATTAAATCATAACTGATAAAAACAAACCTTCAAGAAATAAAGACATATAAGTAGGATGACAGGTGTCACAGTGACCATCAATTGCAACATTGGACAGAGACACTGGGCAGAAGTTTGGCTTATTATTACTAAACAAAAAGGTATCAGTCGGGGACAACAGTCGGACCAAACAAAAATCCTGGGCCCATATTTCATATTCTGTCTGTCTCCCGCCTCCCTGATAGCCCTATTTAACAAGGATTCCACATAATTATAGTTGAGTCCATACTGTTCCTCTGCATGGGACCCACTACAGATGAAATGTGGCTGCACTGGGATTCCTTTCTACCACGTGAGTCATTCATACTTGCAATAATGTTTAAGCAGAGAAGGAAGCTCCAACCAATCCAGGGCCATTCTGTGTACAATGTGCTTCTGTATCGTCTTGCGACACAGTGTCTGCAGAGAAGAAACTAGGAGAAGAGAAAGAAGAGGAAAACATTACTACACTGGATTTTAAATGAAATATCTGCACGCTAACCATCTGTTTATTATTATCTGATAATGAAACACATTTATCCAAAGATTAACAAATTCTGCAGTATAAATACAATGGCTCTCCAAGGACTTAAATCGGCAAATCTTCAACTACCACATTAGCTGTTGCTATTATAACCAGATGGTGAACTTACAGCCATATTCCACCTGGACAATCCGGACAGACTTGGTGGCGGCAAATACATCCACTACAGCGTAGAGCGGCTGCCGGGTGGAAATGCCTTTGGCGCAGGCTCCCATGTCCTCGCCATTGATGACTATGTGCATGTCGGCTACTCCCTCCCTTCTGGGCACATATACCACTCCAATACGGCTGCGCCTGGCTGTAGGGGGCAGCATGTTGGTTTTGTACAGCTCATCCAGAATGTGGCTGAAGCGTCCAGGGAGGCTGCGGCCTACCAGCTGGTCCCGGGGGAGGTAGACGTCTTGAATGCGAAGGTGTGAATGAGTGAAGAATGTCTTAGGTTTAGAGTCTGGCTCCCCTCCTTCTTCTGGCCTCACGTTGACTCCTGCCTCTACGCCATTGTCTGCTTCATCGACAACTTTGTTGTGGTTCCTGGTAATCGCAAAGACCCAGCTGTTACCCAGGTCCACAAGGTCAGGCAGGGAATATTCCGGTACGACCTGGAGGCTCCGGGGGTCGTGGCCCGTGAGTCCGATCCTTAGGTGGCCGCACCAGCCCAACTCTTTGTCTTCAATCTCAACCAAGAAGATCTCCCCAGGAGCCAAAGGGTTCTTGCTGAAGCAGACACCATTAGCGAAGCTCTCCACACGTGTGGCTTGTGTTCCTGATGGGTCCAGTCTGACATTTGTCCCATGTACAGGATGGAACTCCATGTGCTGACCAGCAATGGATGCCATTGGAAAATATCATGAACAACAACAATCTCAGACTCACTCACTGGTCAGTCAGATAGCGTGCTCAAGAAACCGAGAATACATTGTATTAATAGATTAGCAGAATATAGCCATTCTACACAATCACCTGTTAAAACGTTGATGTTATGCTCCTCAGATTAGCCTAGATATTTCCAGTTATGCAGCCAAACAAACCGGTGAATTTACTGCAGCTCTAGCTACAGCACTGACTTCACTCAAGAAGTTTCTAGAGTGTCCCTGTAGCTATTTTTTGACCGGCTGCATTTGTCGCTGACTATTTTGGACAGATAGCAAGTTACGCAGGGGTGGGCAGTGACAGTGGTCAGGGGTGGGAGGAGTTGCACGCACCAAAAAGAGGAACTAGGTACCCCAGTCACCCCCTGTAAAACCCAGCTCATTCTATATTGTAATTACTGCATATGGATATTGGATCTTGTTGTACATATGTTAATTGAGACCTTAATCAGCTATACCTATACAGTAATGCAGTGAGTTTTCAAAATGTAAAAGAAACATAAATCGGGGCATTTAGTAAATATCTTGGTATGTATTGGGGTATCGCTAGTAAAGACAGGGTGGGGGTGTCCCGCAGTTAATAATGTAAAGGGCCAGGGCTCTGAAGTGCTGACATTTCCTCTTTGAATGGGGGGGGGGCATGCACTGCACAGGGAGGATAAAATCAGAATCAGCTAAATGGTGCTGGATGAGAGTAAGAGGAGTGACACCAACATACACAAAGTGCTTACCATTTCCTAAAGCAATGAGCCGTTTAGACACGGATACCTTTCCATTACGCAATACGTAGACAGGTTCACACACGCATGTGGAGAGGAACATTTGAACTCATCGTGGTCATTTATGTAGCCCTGGAAGAGGAGAAGTTACTGCAGAAGACATCACCTCGAGCAGCATTTTGTTATTTTGGAGGTAACATTTTACATGCATCATGAACTCTCCTGCATTTTTAAGTGGTGTTCATCGTTATTCGTTCTGGGTAAGCCATTAAAGCGATCTTATCTGTCGTTTTTCTAGTACAAGTATGCATGCTCAAATCCTTTTCATTAAAATGAGATTTGCCAAAAAAAAGAAGCTCTTTATGTAACCTGGGATAAGACAATGAAAAGGAAGCTCAGTGTCCACCCACTCTGTGGGATTTCTGTGCGTGTATTGCCGTGAGCTTTGGTGGGGGGAGTATGTAATCTGGATTAAAGTGCCCCTGACTTTATTAATCAGACTGGTGAGGTCGAAATCGTTAGACGATCTGCGTTGGCATGTCATCGCTTTCACAGTGTTATTATTTTTCAAAAACATATCAAATTAATAGATATTGCGAAAGTTAAAAGTTAACGTGCAGTTCTGCGCCGCCTTGGTGGGCGGTGATGCTGTGCCGAGCAGATAACGACGATCGGATGGTCACATCAGTTGAAGCGGATTTAGGAATTTAAACTCACCGTGTACCATCAAAAACCATATACCGAAAAATAATATAAACTCGATATAGGAAACTAAGACGATGAATCAGAAGAGATTCATGACAAAGTGAAGGGCGGCGCAGGACAAACGGAATATCCCTTAGATATTTAAAGGTGAGATCCAGGAACTTCTGTCGGCGGTACGTGGTTCTAGGTAAACCATGTGTAAATGGATTATATGCAATTGTTTTTTTCATATGGGATGCCTTTAGGAATATGTACGTCAAATGTTTGCAGCGAATTTAACCATTTAACCAGTTGTCATTTATCACAGGTACAATACGCATTTTGTGATTGCATCAGTATCAACAATATCAAGCATTTTAAAAATCTGTTTTTCTATTTAATGAAAGTTATATATCAGTATTCGTTATTCAGGTGTGCTGTTTATGGAATACTATAACCCAGACAGACCTTTTGTTCTGGATTTACCCTGAATATAAAAAAATACTTTATTGTTATATTCTACACTAGATTTTTAGTTTGTTTTTCTTCACGTTAAGTTTTTAAAAGTGTTAAAATGTTAAAATAAAATTGCATTAATACCAAATCCTAAGCATACAAATCACTAGAACACTCCAGTCGTTAACTACAGCTCCATTCACGGAGACACAGGGGAGTGGCTAAACATCCCGCCCCCCGCCCCCCCAAGAAAATGTCACCTTGGACCCCCCACTGGCGTTGGCACATTCAGTCGCTCAGTTAATTATGCCAAGCAGGTGGGATTTTGGGGCCCCTACCAAGTGCTGGGCCCCCTGAATTTATCATGGTATCCATGCCAGTCTGTTGCCCCTGTTAAGACATGGATAACATTGAAATGGCAAATACTTTTTCTAAAACTTTGTTGCTGAGCGACATGGGAAATGATGAACGATAAACATGACTTTTCCTGCACATAAGCAAGAAAAGTCATTTTCTGTGTACAGCGTTTATTCTGGGGTAAATGTGTAACTCATAACCAGGGCTGCACTGGGATTAAAACTCCACTGCGGGTCCACTATGTTGAATTTTGCCTGCCCACAAACCCATGTCTGTTATGCCAGATTGCCAGTCCAGACCTGCTCATAACTATAGCTGATCTGTAGTTCTGGCAATGTTTTACAAATAGGACAGAACATGCTGAGGAAAATGGAAGGTGTAATATTTTGGCATATCCATCCATCCATCCATCCATCCATCCATTCATGCATCTTCTAACCACTTATTTTGGTCAGTGTTGCAAGAGGTGCTAGCACCTCTACCAGGCAACATAGGGCACAGGGTCGGAGTACACCCTGCATGGGATGCCAGTCCATCATGGGGCACAGGGTCGGGGTACACCCTGCATGGGATGCCAGTCCATCACGGGGCACAGGGTCGGGGTACACCCTGCATGGGATGCCAGTCCATCATGGGGCACAGGGTCGGGGTACACACTGCATGGGATGCCAGTCCATCATGGGGCACAGGGTCGGGGTACACACTGCACGGGATGCCAGTCCATCACGGGGCACAGGGTCAGGATACACCCTTCATGGGATGCCAGTCCATGATGGATGTTGGCATATCTCTGTTAAATCAGAAGCTCCCCAAAAACTGGAGAAAATGAGGCCAAAGAAAGAAAATAACATTTACGCATCATTTGTTCAATAAACAAAACCAAGGAATGGCCTTTCCCTAGATCTTCCTATTAACATAATCAAATGCATTTGCTGAATATATATAATCAGTGTTGGGGAGTAACTTGTTACATGTATCTGCGCTATATCACGCCGAAGTAAGGAAGCATCACACATGACGGGACAAGGTAAACAAGTAGTGCTAGGGGTGCCATAGGAAAGTGTGTCACCTGACTGTCAGTGACTACGCACCCCCCCCCCCCCCCCCACACACACACACACACATATTTTGTGTAGGTCATGCTTTACAATTGAGGTCCACAGTTCCCCATGTTGCTGGACATTTCCTACAATTTCTTCCTGCATTTGTACATGCTTTGGTTTTCAGAGCATGATGAGACAAACAGGTGTTCTGTACTCCAGTTTCCTTCTGGAGTCCAAAGACGCCAAGTTGGGTGAATTGCTGTTTCTGTATTGGCCTTAATGTATGATTCTCTGTGTGCCCTGCATTGAGCAATTTTAACATTTTTATTTTCTTCTAAATCAGTAGAAATTTTGTGTGATTTAACTGCAAAACCTAATAGACCCAATATTACAGATGTTCATTAGAGATCCACATCTATAACATGCATATCTGCATATGTAATGCAGGTTAGCAGTGAACCTGGAGCCTGACTCAGGAGGCAAAAGGCATGAAACAGGAGAGACCAAGGCTGGACTGGGATTAAAAATCGGCCTTGGATTTTCATGTCCCATCGGGAAAATGCCCGCATACCAGTCCAGACCTGGGGGAGATCCAGGAACAGATGCCTGTTACAGGTGTGCAGGCATGAATTGCTGTTAAAACAATCAACATTTCACTGGGCAATTCAGATGCTGTAGCACATCTGGGCAGTGAGCAAATGGTGGACTGACTTTGGTCAATTTACTGCTGAGAAAAAATAGCTGCTTTCACCCTTTGAGTGCCGCCATTAAACATTCCGCCTCGATGTGGTGTGCGGATTCTTACTGCTGTCCGAATCAGCCCACGTAGGCTCATTATAGGAACTGTCCCCTCGGACAGCTTCAAGCGTGATCAGCTACCATCCGTCTGCCTTTAAACTCTGCGGGATTTGCTGATAATTTGAGATTTGGGCTGGATATTGTGCTGGTCTGGTGAGTAAGGTCTGTTTTATATTTTTAAATACAGAAAGAGAACCAGTGCTTAGCATTAGAAAATCCATGCATAAAATACGTGGTGCATAAATACAACCTGAAGGCTATTATATTGGTGGAAAGTTCAGTTTTAATGGATTGGTTAAAATGTGTATGGTTAAAAATGACAATAAAGACCTGCTTGATGCTTGATAGTTTTGTTCAGTGAGATTAATCAACTGATCCTTTAGTTCCAGGTGAAGATAATATTAATCATTTTCAACCATTGGGGCCAGTTTGACTAAGCAGGGCAAATTAGCATGAGGGCACAATGAAAAAGAGCAGTAATGGTAGAGGCCACATTTGCAGCTGATCTACTAAAAACGTGCAAATTTATGAGCACAGACAACATCCGTTTATTTAAATACAGTAGAACCTTGGAACTCAGACGCCTCTTAACTCGACCAACTCGGACACCGAACAGGTCTGATTAATTTTTTTTTGTACCTCGACCGAACCCAGATAGCAAAGTCCCATTGAAACAACACTGATTAAACATCAGACAAAATCATTGAAACAACATTGATCTTTAACGTTAGTTTAGCATTGATATTGCTCATTGTAAAGGCCATCTATTCAACATTAAAAACCTAACCATGTTCAACGAGGATTCAGCATTGATTCAACTATATTTTGCATCAATGAATCAACCATTGATCTAATATTGAAGTATTTTACATTGCAACAATATTCAAGATTCAAGGATTGTTTTTCAAGTGATTTAATGTTGAAATTATGTTGAAATTATGCAATATCAAGTATGGTCTCTGAAGCCTGATATAAATAAAACACCAACAAAAGCAGTGAAACATAAAAGAATGTTTATTAATGCACGTTTCTATGCATGATGTGTAAGAATCTGACACACTGTTCTTCAGCGAAAATAACAAAATTAGCCAAAATAAAATGTCAAAAAGAAACAATATTCATGAATAATATCAGTTCCTTTTTGTACTGCAGTCACATTCTGGAGCATATCGGAGCCACTTTTTTACAGTATCGCTGAAACCGCGATGGGTGGCTTCCTTAGATTGATGCAACAGTGGGCAGAAGGTTGGGGAGACCTCACAAGGACTGCCAGTCCATTGCAGGGCACATGCATGACCGCACATAATCATACCTTATGGACAATTTAAAGATTACCCTTAGCTTACCTTCATGTCAATGAACTACAGAAGGAAACACACAACTCTGGAAAAAATTAAGAGACTGCTCTATATTAAAAAAAAAAATCTACACTTTGAATCCTGGTTTAATCCTGGTTCTGCTGGCAGAAGGTTACACTGCGAGTCAGGCTGCTTCCAGGCTCAACATTTCTAAGGCAGCAGTACATAAGAACAAGGTGAAGCAGGAGACCCTGGGAAAGACCAGAAACCAGCCAGGTAAAGGGTAGAAGCAACTTTCTAATGCCAGAGATGACTGTCAACTTATCCGGCAGTCGGAGGATGACATCAAGTGACCTTCAAAAAGAATGGGAAACATTAAGTGCAGGTGTGAAGTGCACTGCTAGGACAGTTCGTATCAGGCTCCTAGAAGCAGGACGAAAGACCCATAAAGCAAGGAAGTAGCCCTTCATTAATGAGAAGCAGGGAAGAACCAGGCTGGAGTTTACAAAAAAAAATGTATATTTTACACAGGTGCATTCCCATAAACTGAGAAATGAGTGAAAATGAGCATTTTGCTGTGGTCTCTTAGTCTTTTGCAGAGCTGTATATGACACAGGGAGAGCATGCTAACACTGCCACACACATACAAAGCTGAGGAGAGACTGTAAACTCCCAGCCCTGGAGGTGTAAGACACCGAGACCCTTGTCACACATTGTTTACAGAATCCACTGTATGACTTTGCTTATTACTGTATTCACATTTTAAGTATTTGTCTAACATGACTGATAATACATGCAACAATCAATATTTCCGGTCATTATGATGCACTGTTTTTCTAGAATTTCCACAAACATGTGTCCCCAAATCTGTATGAGATTCTGCTGAATCACATCCTCAGATCTTTATGAGGATATGTCAGCCTTTTAGTCTGTATCTCACAAACACAAAATGCTCAGGCAGAGCCGCTGCTAGAGATGTTGGGCCCCGTGAAAGCATATTATATTGGGCCCCCAACCCAGACTGTTCAAGTATGTTCCAAATTTTTTAGGGCCCCTGGAATTCCATGGAATCTTCCTAACCCCCCCCCCCCATGGCACCCCTGGGCTCAGTAAATGACTTTGTAATAGATTTATGTAACAGCTAACATTAATACAAAATACTAATTTCAGTCAGACTGCATCAATCCCCCAGATTTTATGCCTTGTTTTTAATTAGCAGTTTCACACATTTATTCGAGTTTTGGACTCTCTAGTTATCCCTGTTGCCTGCTGCTGTCTAACCCCTCCAGCTTCGGTACACGCCAGTTGGGTCGAGTAGATAAGCATAAATGCTTGCTTGTGGAAATGTTCTGCATTGACTGATAGGGGAAAGCTGGATTAGCTGTTGGGTCTCCTTTATCTTTTTTTTCCCGGTTATTTCGCATTAATTATACACACTGCTCCTGCTACATGAGTGTGCTATACACCCATCCTTTCTCCATCCATCCTAATTGCTGGTCCAGTAGAGGGTTGTGGTCAGCTTGGAATCCCAAGCTAGGGAGAGCAGGGCAAAATTGTACCATTACTAATCAGACATTATTTATCAGACCATTAATTATTTGGCTTGCTGGAGAACATCTAAGACAGGGGTGGCCAATCTTATCCGCAAAGGGCCGGTGTGTGTGCGGGTTTTCGCTGCAACTCCCTAATTAGATTACTAATTAGAGGACTGATTGGCTGAAGAGTCCTTACACCTGGGTTTGAACAGCTGACCTACAGGTTATCCCAAAAACCGGCCCTTTGTGGATAACGTAATAATAGGAGGAGCAATATTAATCTGACTTTAAGCAATATAACACTGAACAGGGAGTCATATTTCTGTCACACACCCATTTTTATTTATTTCTAATGATTGCTTTTACCTATTTATTTACTTTGGTTGCTTATAATGAACCATAGTAATCCTCGTTACTCTCCATGAGTTCCAATGATCACCTGAGTGGACAGGAGGTGTCTTCACTGAATCATTCATCAGAATAACTAAAGCATTTGTTTGCAATTTGTTTGCTGAACAAAAACATTTATGCTAATATGCCAGTCCTGATTTGTTATATCTGTGCTTTATTTCCCAGATGAACCACATTAGCATGCTGCTGCATTTTCCCCCAGCAGAAACAGGACTGGGTTTGTGTTCCCATAAGAATCAAGCTGGTAATTGGCAGAAAAAGCTGTGTAATTATCATGTCATCCCTGTTCAAGAAATATGTTTCATGGTTGCACTGTAAGCCTGGCAGTCGCAGTCCCAGTATTCTAATGGCTGCATCGATATCCAGAGTTTCAGTTCAAGTCAGGCGGCAAAGCCAGATTGTCAGACCAGTGACATCCATCTCTAATTTAAATCCATTTCCTGTTTAATGTCTTTCGATTATCAGATTCAGCAGTTTGATAAAACTATTACACATCAAGACCAAAGATCACAATGGTCTATTTACACAAACACACACACACACACAGGTTTGAAATGATGTCTTTATGGGGACTCTCCATTCATTTCTATGGGGAACACTCTAATCCCAACATGACGACCTTAACCCCTACAAAGCCCTAACCTTAACCATAAGTGACCAAACAAAATACGAAGCACACATACACACACACACACAGTTTTTAAAAAGAGCCAGTAGTGTAGCATTTAAAAAGCTATTTTAAAAAGGAATACTTTTTGTATGCATGTTTAATAAACAACCCAGTTTCAAATTCTAGGTCCAAATATCAGCATATTCATGAATCCAGTTTGATGGAGCCAATAGTGGAGTATTTCCAAATAAACCCACATGCTCACAGCCTACATGGCCACACAGCTGCACGCTTCTGTGCCTGCATATTCAATCCAAACGCGCGTATTAGTCCAAAACCTGTAAACCCATTTGCTGGCTGCAGTAATGGATTTTCGGGTGAGATTAGGTGCTGCAGTTTGATGAACTGGATTAAAATCTGTGCGCTGCCCTACTTTTCAGATAATATCTGGGGGGAAAAAAGAGTTTTTAACTATTTTTATTTATATTTAAAACACACAGTGATCCCTGCCCAGCATTCTAAAAGAGAATCCTGCTCAAGCTTGAAAGGCTGGGGGGACAATTAATTGCTGAGATGAAAGCTATTTTCGGACAGCCACAGTTGGACTAACATCCCTTTGAAATCCTACGTTGTGACAGGAAACGTAGGCGCCAAGAGAGCCTTGGGGAAGCAGCTGATAATGGCTGCAATGGGTCTGAAACTAACTGCTTGTCTTCTTTTGCCTACTCTCAAGTGTTTGGAGACTACAATGCAAAAGTAGGAGATGGAGGATGACACGGGGTATGGAGCAGGATCTGGGTCGCCCTGCGACTCCCCAAGCAGACTCCGGCAGAGTATCACATCGCAGGACTCCCGGGACCAGGTGCAGCAGGGCATTTTGATCCAGCTCACCAGCACGGAGGAGGAGTGGGACAGCCCAAGCGATGGCTGCCTCCTATTCCCACTGGAGCGAGATGATGAGGAGTCTTTGAGCTCCGTGTCTAGGGAGATACCCCATCCCAATGTTGCACCTTCATCGGACGACCAAGGCCTTCGCTGCCCCAGTTTCCACGTCCCCTTATCCCCCTCGTCCCCCGGGTCCCTAGGGGATTTCTGCCTCCCAGCCCCCAACTTCCTTAACCCAAACTCGACCCCAGGCCACAGCATGGGCACCCCCATGGCCAAGCCATTGGTGAACCTCGTCAAGTCCCTGTCCACAGAGGTTGATTCCAAGGAGGCCTCCCTCAAGGCTAAGCCCTTTCTCAGTCTGGTCAAGTCCATCTCCACGGAGATCAGCCTCAGCCAACCAGAAGTCTCCCAGTCCAGGTCGGACTCCAAGCTGAACCTATACCTCTGGAGGCCGTTTGCCCAGCCGAAGGGGCGCAACGGGGACTCCAGGACAGCTCCGCCTTCGCCCAGCGGCCTCTCTCCCTCGGAGCCCAAGGGCGGCTTCTTTAAAGTGGAGCTGGAGGATACCCGACGCAAGTTCTCAGAAGCCGTGCAGGAGCAATTCAGCATGATCAGCAAAATCATGGGCGATGAGAACTCCAGCAGCCCTAAGTGTCAGAGGCCAGCTAGACCGTGTGACTCCTCAAGGGGGGTTAGGGAAGGCAAAACATGTGGGGATCCCTTTGCTGCAGAGGCTCAGGGCAGGAACGCAAGGATAATGGATGCTGCTATACTGTCCAAGAGAACTCTACCAAAGCAGTGTCTTTCTTCAGAGCATTCTGGGACAGTGAGCACCCGGGGCAGGAGATCTGAAAGGTGCACCAATGACGATGCCATTCAGAGCAAAGAGCAATCCCAAGGGTTGCTGGGACAGCTGATGTGCGCACAGCATTCCCCACCTGTGCCAGAGAAATGGCTGTTTGCCCTGGCTGTGCTGGCTTACGGCTATTTTACTCTGCCACTGCCCTCTTATCTTTCAGGTCTGTCACTTGGCTTAGCTTGTGGCTTCCTTCTGGGACTTCTCCTCATTCTCCTGTTGGTTCCCCAGCACCCTATTCAGCCTCATAAAAATTTGTCTGTGGATGAAAACATTCCACCTGAGATCTTTGTTCTAGGACATAATGACCCATTGGCTCAGAAGGTGAGTCCACAATGAGTACTCTTAATACTGCAATAACTCCTTCACCAGTGTGATTTCTGCTGCCAGGTTTCCTCTCCACTTCAAAGACATCCATTTAGGCTAATTAGTGTTGATAAATTGCGTGCAGGTTAGGATTGTATGAGTGGTTCCTTGTCATGGTTCCTTGTTCTTGTAGGGCAGTCTGAGCTGGGAAGGTTCCCCGCATTTCTGGATTTCACCGCTTTCATCAAGGCGCACATTTGAATGGTACAATTTGCATTGCATCTCTCTGCAAATCGGCCCATGCTGTCATTTGAGACCGCCGATGGCCGCCTTCCCTGCACTGCATGACAGGAACTGCAGCTGGGGTTGAAATCCTTTGAGAATACTCCACAACATCCACAGTTCTGGTCTTCATGATGCATGCAATGCAATTACCGTCTTCCATTCCTTATATAGCGGCCGTTACAGCTGAAAAGCACTTTGTAAACAATGCCAGATGTAAGATCAGTGCTGTTTGTGCCCTGTGGGATTTGGCAGTGGTCACGACATTACTGCTTTCTCCAGTAGGGCCGTTTCAGCTGCACGTCTTCATGCTATGAGGAAGGGATGAGCAGCAGATTCTGGATAATGAAGCCGCGTTTTTCGAAATGTGCAACATCACTGCGTCTGTCCAGCCCTCCCTCTCTATCTGTAAAGCTCTCCCAGAGCTGTAGAGGCAGTTATCTGTCTTCACTCACAATTCCCCGAGCAACAGCCTGTCATTGTCCAAATATTCCACTGCCACGACATGAAACACAGCCTGTGCACTTCTGTTATTTACACTACCAGAGTTCAGTTATATTCACTTTATATAAAGGAAGACAACAAGAGTCTGAGTTAGATAGTTGAGTAACCACGGTTGAGGCAGTACAACCAGGGTGATTTGCTTTAATGATCTTCGAACTGTAAAAATGAGCAGTACTGTCTTTTCATTGTATGCTTAAATCATGTTGCTCACCCAGAATAGAGGCACTTGTGAAGCGAATACTAACCTATTCCCACAAGGGTGATATTATTTTGGGAAAAGTAGCTATTTGTCTTGGTGATAAAGGTAGTAGATCACAATCAATTATCCACCCATCTTCTTGAGTTACAAGTCCCAATCCCGTTGTAATGGTTTGTTGAAAATACTGGAAAAGTGTGAAGCCATTCTGAAAGATTTCTGGTTGTGTGAGGTGGCCGTGAAAGGTCGCTGCATGGTAGGTGCTGTGGGCCAGGGGATCTGACAGCGGCGACCCTTCTGTGTCACAGGGCTGGATGACTCAGGCCCACGTGTACGACCCGGAGACCCACAGCCCGTCCCCCAGCCACTGCGTGTATGCCACCCTGGAGGGGCCGTGGCTGCGACTGGCCTGCCCCAGCAACAATATCCCCCGCTGGGCAGCTTTCAGCGAGCAGCCTTTTGAGGCCGACTTTGTCAGCTCACGCCGCTACCAGCTAGCCAATAGCAAGGTGCCCCCCGACCCCAGCTCTCCATCCTGGGTTTTCTTCACACTGTCATCTCATATATCATAGTCAACTCCATTTTTTGGTAATAACTAAATAGACTATAATTTTGTAGTGGAAAAAAGTAACTTTAAAATGCGAGTGAAATTCATGAAACTCAATAAGAGATGTTTTTAAAGCTCCCCCCAGTTTACACAGGTGGGGAAAACACACACTTGCTTATTGTCCCCTTTTTTGCTACAGGTCTTCCTCTTGCCTTCACTTCTGGCGCGCAAGAGACTGTGGAACATGAAGTACCCCATCTGCATTGTGCTGGCTGAGGGAGAGGAAGGAGAAGAGGAGGGATCCACAGAGGAGGCCTTTGAAGGAGAGCCAAGAGCAGACAGGCAGGCAGCTCCTTCACAGCCCAGTCAGCCGACTACTCTCTTCCTCTTCGGGAGGACAGGAAGGGAGAAGGAGGAGTGGTTTCAGAACTTCCTGCGTGCTTCCATGATGAAGAGCCACAGCGGATGTGGTTCCCAGTCAGGTAAGGGTGAGCATTTCTGGTTGGCAAAGCTAATAATTTGATGCTCAATTTTACATAAAATTCTTCATAGTATTCCATTTCATTACATATTATTTACTGCTGGTTTTTTTTTAAAAAAGATACCCAAACTTTGCAGTTAGAGATTCCGCAACAATTTTGTTATTGTGTCAGTGATCCCAAGGTGCCCCTCCTACCCAGGTGTGTCCCCACCTTGTGGCTCCAGTGAACCAGCTTTGATGCAGTGCACCGATGGCTCCAGTAGAGGGAGCACTGACGACATTCCCTCCCAGCTACACATGAGGGACCTGGCTGTCAGCATGAAAGAAAAGATCCTACTGGACTACAGCAATTACATGACACGCTTCATTGTACCAGCAAATGCAAGCACTCTGCCCAGCCCCTGCCCCAGTAACGAAGGCAGTCCTACTGAGAAGAGGAAGGTAAGGAGGGCAGCAGCAGCATTCCTCTTTTTGGCTTATTAAGGTCCCTTTAAATCAATTCATACTTCAAGCGCTCCAAACGTGCAAATTCCTCAAAGTCAGAACTGTAAGTAATACCATCCCATAGAGGAAATCCCATAACTGAGGGTGACAGGACAGTTCTTCTGCTATTTTTTTTCCTGTAAAGTTGATCTCTAAGAGTATGGAGAGCCATTCCGAAGAACAAATTGCCTGGATAAATGCTCTTATTGGGAGAATCTTCTGGGACTTCCTCTGTGAAAAGTACTGGGCAGATTTGGTGGCCCGTAAGATTCAGAAAAAGCTGAGCAAGATCAGGGTGAGTCTGAGAAGTACGTTTTGGTAAAATGCACTTGTCGATGTTGAATGTATTATTTCACTAAGGTCATAAGACAGTTTTTAAGCAGAACTGACTCAGACACAGTTTAGTCTTATATTTGTAGTCTGACATCGGTTTGCGATTCCATGGGTATGCAGGGCATGTATGTGCTTGTCTGTTGCAGCTGCCGTACTTCATGAACGAGCTCACGCTCACAGAACTGGACCTGGGCACCTGCATGCCTCAGGTGACAAACGTCACGAGACCCTCCCTGGACCAGCGAGGTGAGACTGAGGAGGACCGGGCAGGGAATCACAGGATCGAAGACACTGACAGAGCAACACTGACTGTGACAGAAGTCACATAGCTAAATCATTTTTTGAGCAGCTATTACTCTCTAATAATCCCCCTCCCTGACTTATCGGTAAGGAGGAGGGTCTTTTACGGCATTGTTGGAACGGTCTCCAATTTGTTTACAAAGATAAGTGTGATGGAACAAGCCTGCTGAAGGCTACCCTTTAGATCAGTGCTTCCAAACTGGTCCTCAGGGGCCCGCAGCTGGTCCACATTTTTGCTCCCTCCATGCTCCCTGCCAGAAAGTCCACATTTTTGCTTCCTCCCAGCTCCCTACCAGGAGTAGAACGGACTATGTATTTAGAACAATGCACTGCGGATTGGGAAACACTGATTTAGATACATTTTGACAGCTCTGCTGCCTCCTCATAGGTTTGTGGCTGGAGCTGGATCTGGTCTACACTGGATCCTTGCAGATGACCCTGGAGACCAAAATGATCCTGTCCCGGCTAGGCAAGGACGGGGGCCTGGAGGCCAACAGCGCACCGGAGCCCGGAGGCTTGACGTATGCCATTTCGTCCCACCCCAGCCCAGCCCCAATCAGCCAATCAGCTGCTCAGACTGTAGTTTGAGTAGGGGAAGGGCTGGCCAATAGGGTCATCGCTGCCGTACCCCTTACTCCACAACCTATTCTGTCCTCACACTCTTTCTTTATCTACTTACTAAGCTGACCACAATGGGTTAAAAACAACGTTTACTTTTGGGATCCTATAATGCTGTAATCTCAGGAAACACTGTGATATGGGCTTTTGAGGGTACATCCCCTCATATCATAAGCTATTAGTTCTGCGCTAACTGAATTTTGTTTTTATGCATCACACATTCTTCTTATTCTGCTTTCTACTGAAAATGCAATTTCAAGATTATGTACAGTACCAATCAAAAGACAGGAAACACCTATTGAAAATCATTTGTTTTTCAACAAGATAACAGCCCTAAGCTCACCTTGAGGGTATGTAGTAAGTATTATCTTGTGAACAAGGAAAGAGTTGGAGTGCTGCGACAGATGAGTTGGCCCCCACAATCCACTGACCTAAGCCACATAGAGCTGGATTGCAATGAGTTGCATCAAAGCATAAGAGCAAAGCCGCCAACTCAGAACTTCAGGAAGTATTCCAGGTAGCAACATCAGGAAGCCGCTTGAAAGAATTACTATATATAGAGAAAAATGCATTAAAAGTAGATGTGTCTACATATTTGACTGATACTGTATTTATTTGTACAAAACATTGTTGCATATAATGTTTAAATTGTGCAATATACACTCAGTGACAAAAGAAGGTGCCCAGAAGTAATGGTCCGATTTGGATGTAATTTGGTACAAGTGCAGACCAGCGATGGGTATGTAAATGAATCGATTTGCAAGGAGCTGGCACGTCTAGTCACCAGACACAGAGGATGCCTTGTAGACGCACAAGACAGCATTACCAGCACTTGAGGGAGTTTGATAGGGGTCACATTGTGGGTTTGCATGAGACTGGGTGGTCGTATCATGCAATTGCCCGGCATGTGGGGCATGCAGATGTTACACTTGGCCGATGTTGGAACCAATGGGCGCGTGAGTTTCTGGTTTCAAAGACATTCCACATGAAGGGACGATCACCGTATTGTGTCATCATGGTGTGGGGAGCCTTAGGGTATGATTTCAGGTCATCTCTGGTAGTGATTCAGGGGACCTTGACGGCACAGCGCTACATCAGTGACATCCTGCACCTGCCTGTCTTACCCCTCCTGAGACAGCCCCCTGGTACAGTATTTAAACAAGACAACGCCCGTCCACACATGGCATGTGTGTCTATGGACTGCCGGCATCATGCTGAGGTTCTCCTGTGACCAGCCAGGACCCCTGATATTTCCCCAATCAAACATGTGTGGGATCAGCTCAGACGTCAACTCAGACCCAGTGCCAATCTGCAGGGTCTCGAGGGCCAGTTACAACAGCTGTGGGCTGACTTGCCACAGAAGAGGATACAACAGCTGTACGACTCCCTTCCACACTGTATCACCGCATGTATCCAGGCCCGGGGGGGTGCCACACCCTACTGACATGGGACCAGCAGTGTGCCCATACTGCCAACTCTGTTGTCCGTTTGATCTGATATTATAATCATTCTGACAGTCACATGACCTTCCACCACTCCGTCTGGGTGCTTAACTTTTTTGTCACTGAGTGTATAATAAATGTTAAGAATTGTTTGCCACATAGTAAGACGCTGTGTTTGATGGTGTTGATGTTCCTGGACTTGCTTGTGCAGCACGAGGTCCAGGCTCTGTGTCTTGGCTGACAGTGATGAGGAGTCATCGAGTGCGGGTTCCTCTGATGAAGAGGAAGTCCCGCCCTCTGACCTCCAGGGATATCAGGGAGATAGAGGCACACCACCTGGGTCTGAAGGGTAAAAAAAATCAAAAACGTTTGACATTTAAAACTAACCGTGCTTGACTGATCATGTTTTCCCGTATACCCCAAAGAAGCAGCTAATGAAGACATTTGTTTCTCTTCTTCTCCGTCATCAGCCATGGGGGAGGTCGCAAAAGCAGGAAGATACTATGGTTTGTTGACAAAATCACCAAGTCCAAGTATTTTCAGAAGGCCACTGAAAATGAGTACATCAAAAAGATGATGGAGGAAGTGTCCAGTACTCCTCTACTGCTATCTGTGGAAGTGCAGGAGCTGTCCGGGACCCTTGCAATCAATATTCCACCTCCCCCCACGGACAGAATATGGTATGCCCTTTTAGTTATTTCAAAAAATCACTGTGATGAAATTGCTGTCTCCACTTTGTAATTAGAACCGTCACAGGGTGGACAATTTCTCTACTGGATCAAATGGTTGTGATCCAAATAACCTATAATATTGCAGATGTTGTTTTGCATGAAAAATACAAGCCTTTTCACTGCACATAATAATCCCCTGTAGTTTCACCAGTTATCCATGTAAGACATTCATCTTTGTAGAACATGGACATTGAATGTTCAGAAGAATGTAATTTAAATTTATTTGCGTATTTATAATGTAGCGTTGTGGGGGACAATGTGTCTGGAGCCTATCCCAAGAACAGAACACTCTATGGGCAATTTAAAGACAGCATTTCACCTAACCTGCTCTTGGATTGCTGCATATACTTAAAGTACAAACCCTTTCAAATGCTGGCCCTGCTGTGTTTGTGTGAATATTCTCCCTGTGTTGAAGTTTCCTCCAGTACTTCAATTCCCTGCCGCAGTCCAAAGGTATGCGATTGAGCCAATTAGCATCTCTGAATTGCCAATAGTGTGTATACATGTCATATGATTGACTGGCTTCCTGTCAAGGTTGTACCTGTGCTTTGTGCCCTATCCTGCTGGGGATAGGCTCCAGGCCCTTCCTGTAAACTGGTCTAGGATAAATTGTTGGAAGATGGATGGATGGATTTATGGATGGATGGAACAGGCATGTGGCAGGTTATTCAGTTAATTGCAATACTGATGTAATATAAGCTAGATACACATATGAAAGCGTAACTTTAACTGACCCCCGTCACTGCATGTGTAGGTACAGCTTCTGCACTCCGCCCAGACTGGACCTTCGCGTCAGGCCGAAACTGGGCGAGCGGGAAGTGACGCTCGCCCACGTCACCGACTGGATTGAAAAGAAGCTAGTGGACGAGTTCCAGGTAGCGTCAAGTGAGCAAACCAGCGACACGGATCTGTCCCACAATCCACCTGTCTAACACCAGGATATGTACTCCTTCTGAATCACACTAACACTATACTTCCATTAATACAACACTTTTGTATATAGTGTTTACAAGTGACAGTAGAGTAACTTTGAGGTGGATTATTGATCCCTATTTATGGATAAATTTGGTGTAATATTTATTAAGCCAGAGGCAGCTACACTCATCACCCTGCCAGCTCACTTTACCAGTGTATCCTCTTATATTCCAGAAAGCTTTTGTGATGCCAAACATGGATGATATTTACTTGCCACTGATGAATTCTGCCCCGACCAGTCCTCCAAAGAACGAGCAGAACCCAGCCCAGCCACCTTGTGGGGCCTCTATGGAAACATGGGACAAGCCTTGTCAGGAGAGTCCTCCTGAGGGAGAGTAGCGCCCCCCTGTGGTGGCATGTGTAAAACACGTCTCTGTGGCAGAGTTGTGCCACGCAGTACGACACAATAAAACTGAGTGTCCTGCACCCCTGAGCATCAAACTGAGGAGAACATCATCGCAGTTTATATGGTTCGAGGTACTGTACAGTGCAACAATTTTAAGAGCCTCATCTTTTTGCAATCCAACCCGTTTTATAAGTTAAAGTAATGCCTATTTCATATTTAAGCTTTATGCACTGATGTATCCACTAGCTCATCCATATCCCCTTTTGGAAATGTTTCTATTCTGCTTAATCCTACCCAACCCTCAGAGAAATCTCAGCTCTCATTATGGCTCAGAGCCTACAGGCATTAGGGATTTACTGCTGCATTGCAGCAAGAAAATGAGAAATATTTCACAGTAGCCATTAACTTTGGGAAAGTCAGTTATTCATAAAAAATGTATTTCATACTACTTTTATACAAAACTTTGAAATGTATCAGATGGTTTTACAGTGTGAACACAAGAGAATTTTAAATTGCCAAGGAAACAGGCTACTGTCCGTTTGTGTACAGCTGAATAAAACTCCTATGAGAATAAAGCACAAAAAACAGATCCAGGGACTGATTCTGTATTATATGCTTAACATATTTGCAAGAAAAGTTACACAATGTTAGTTTTTGTTATATTACTTCATTCCAATGTCAAGATGTTAAACCACAACCAGAAGGCCCGATTTTTTCTTTTGAAACTTCAACCATCTATACCAAGGGTGTCCAACTCCAGTCCTGGGGGGGGGCGGAGCCCTGTGTAGCTTAGTTCTTTCCCTGTTCCACCACAAATGATTCAGCTCAACAGCTGTGCGGTAATTAGCACAAAGCGTTGATTCAGGTGGGATAAATGAGGGAAAACCCAAAATTGTGCCGGGCTCCGGCCCCCCAGGACTAGGTTTGACACCCCTGATCTATATATAAGACACTTTAAGGCTGATCTTGAACACAAGTTGATTCAAGTGAAGCTACTCATCCGTTGCCTTTACTGACGTCAAGAAGAAACCCACCAGGGCTGGGGTGAGATGCATGGTTCCATTACAGGTTTATTCCCAAAGACAGGCTCTGTTTTCAGCACGTTTACCCAAGCAGCACTGCACTGACCCAAAGCCTACCCCAAGAAAGGATTCACCCTGCCTTAGGATGTCTAACGGGACACATTGAAATACAAGCATAACTAGTTAATCTAAACTGCTTTAAGCTCTGAACACAAAGTAGGACTAAATGCTAGAATTTTTTTAATCACTTGAGCAGTGTCAACTGATCCTTATTTCCAGTTAAACACATCAGAAACATGTTCATATCATAAACCAAAGTACTGCAGCTTTCATAAGAGGAACACGGTAATACAAACTTGTGAGCATATCAGTTCCCATTATGCAGACACTGATAGAACCAAATGTTTATTTTACAAGTTATTTCTGACACATGAATCATGCAGGCTGTGATACGTAACAATATGAAGAGGCTGTCTAAAGAGAACAGACGCCCCCATAATAACCAGCTACGACTTCAGGGCATCGGAGTTCCTAGAGGAAGAGGATGCAAAGTTAATTTCTGCACAAATAATCAGGTCATGAAAGGTAAACAGACAAGGAAAAAGGACATAGTTTCCTCGTCAGTCTCACAACGTTCAAACAGAGCAACTTAATCTTAACATTTCAAATACTGTCTCATAGTCATTAAATGACTGTACAAAGGAGCAAAAAATGATAAACAGGTGCTCCTAAGTTCCAATGAGCCCAATGATTAGTAAGAGTCAAATATGACTGGTGATACATAAATAAGTACATAACCACTGTAATCAAATAATTATTGTAACAATACCAGTAACTGAAAAATTAAATATATGAATACACTATCTGGAAAAACACAGCAAAAAACTATGACACATTCTTAAAAACACTGCATGTGATATTTATGCTCATGATCGCTACCGAGACAAAGTGTGGCTGTGTGGATGTTGTCATTGTGTAGTTAGTAGAAAGTATCATATAGCATATTGCTACCTGGGAAGAGATAATTAAGCGAGGAGCATTAGTAAGTCTGTCGAGTACCCAACCGGGAACAGAGAGACAACAGATCATGTCCTTCTGCCGTGCATTAAGAGACTCTTTTAATTTCTCTCCCTTTTAATGACAAATATACCACTGACAGGTATAAATCGTCAGAGCTGAGAGAGTAGGAAAAAATCTCTCTCAAAGCAAAATCTTACCAAGTATTCTCAGAATAGCAGAACATTCCCCAGTAGATATGCAGCCATCTTCAGTCCCAGCTATCAGCACTTGAATCAAGTGACACAGACCTATGGCCACTCATCACCTAAACAAATTCGGGGGGGGGGGGGGGAGAGAAAGAAAGTCAGTAGCAAAATCACGTCAAAAGTCGTCCATTCGTTAGTAACACAGAGGTGATACTAGGAGTTACACTTGCCTTTTAAGGTATGGTGTGGGATTTCGCAAAAATCGTAATGCCAGAACTGTTCTACGCCAGATCACTTGTAGGCATGATAACTCATGTCACCGATGACAGCAAAGGCCCGGAAAGTTCAAGTTCTGGAAGAACTTAGAAAGACAAACGTAATCGAATTTGATTATAAATATTAATTTGATGACCAGATGTGTTTAAATTACCATGCTTAAGTACGTTAAATTATCATTTACAACCTGCAGGTTTTAATATTTTCACAAGTTTCGCAAAAGCGTGAAACACTTACCTTCATGGATGGAAAGAAGGGCCATCTCCAAATGTGATTTAAGTCCATGACAAGGCTAGAAGAGCAATTAAACGTAGTTTAAGAGTAACTTCTTAGGTCTGTAGTTTTCATCGAACAGCCAAAAACAGTTGTAAATGCAAGTGTGCTCAACATATCGATGGATATGGCATTATTACAAGCAAGTGCCATACTAAATTAACAAACAGCACTATTAATACCACAACCCATTTCTTATTAAGAATAAAAAAGACCCGTAGCGCATTGAGGGTTAATACTGATAATTAGTGTAAGCCTCGTTTTCCCCCTTTTTCTATACCATTACAACTATATTTATAAACAAATGTAACACGTTTTTTTCTTAAAAAGAAATGAACAACCAATTTTGGCTGCATACAGGTCTAAGGCAAAGATATATACGCTTTTCCAAATTAATAAAAGAGGACTCGGTGAACATAAAGCCACTGCCTCCGACACCCAGGTGACTGGATGGCCGCCCCCTATGGAATGGCCTTACATAGACCCCCCCGCTCCCCGAAACCGCCGCCGAGCGTTTTTCCTGCGTCTCCAGACGCGGCTAGTGAAGAGACCGCCAGCTCATCGTTTAGTACAGAAAGCAGTGAAACGCCATTAATTTCCCGGATAGAAACTAACAGGAAACAGGAGAGCTTCGCTACACGTGGAAACCCTGTACGAAACGTAACCTCAGACAAATCGTACTACTACTTCCGCTTTATCCGTTAATAATTAAATAAAACTTACAGTGGTAACCAGTACGCATTTTAATAACTGCAAATAAGCAACTACATAAAAATAAAAAGCAATCAGACATCCCACTTACCTAGCTGGCGTCTGCCACGAGTAACGTTTCCCAGATGGGTTTGATCGTCACGTGCTTCGTGTAACCGGAAGTGCTTGGCTGGTCATTTGAATGCAATAAACACAGAGAGGCAGAACAGCGATTTTGCAAATTAATAGTCAATAAATGTATTGTATTGACTTTATATATCACACCGACTTTTGTATATAGTTACATCAATATGATGAACTATTAACAGCTAAGGCTTGTTGACAGCTTACCTTGGTTCAAGAGCGTGTTGCTGGTGTTTATTGCTTACAACTCATTATTATTTATTTCAGTATGTTCGACCATGGTAATCAAGAGCAATCATATACTAGAATTCTCTGAAGTTCGAATTTAGTGATGACACACCACAGCACACAACAACGAAATGTGTCCTCGGCATTTAACCCATATGTGACATAGCTAATTCAATCCCGGGCAGTGGGATTCGAACCTGCAATCTACAAGTGCGCTTCCCTAACCATTAAGCCACCACTGCCCACTAATGTTGATGGATGTATTTAGAGGGAGGGGAAGGGAAGGAATCTTTCAACATTCAGATCAAATTAATGTTCTATCATTTCTTTAATTTATGGTAGTTTTGGTATTCCCGTGGTAACAAAGGGCCTAAGACTTAGTAACTTCTCGCTATTAAACCCTGAAATATGAATAGCATGTCAAGCATGAATTAGCATTTAAAAATTGTTTAAATTGGCAACCATGAAGACACGTGGATTCAGTCACATATGCTTACATATAAATCGATTAAAATCTGGAACAGATCGGTTATTCTGTCCTCATTGTGTTTGTTTCCGTACACAAATCGACAAATAGCGAACAAGCTTCAGAGAAAGTCATAACCTAGAGAACAGTAAAGATCATTCAACTTTAGTCTTCATTCTCATGAACATTTTGTAAAACTGAAATACAGAAAAACATAGCACTAAACACTGAATGCTATTTAGAAAACATATATACGATAATGTATATAGCTATGAAATTATAAGCGTACACATATTATATGCAAAGGTTGTATAAATAGCTGTATATAACTTGTAGCTAATGTAAACAGCTGTCGTTCACTGTTAGTTTAACAGCAGCAGCATTTATGTGTAAATAAACTAAGTATTTTAATATAACACATCAAGCGCGTTTTATGAACTGCTGTGTAATTGTAGAATCGATTATATATACGAATTCAACTCACAAGCGATCCTTTTCCAAGGCACAAACAGCGAGAAAAAAGATACGAAGCAGGAGCTACTGGCTAAACGCATTTCATGTTAAAACAAAAGACATCTGATCAGACACTCTGATGCCTTGTCCACACGTACACGGGTATATTTTAAAACGTAACTTTTTCTATAAGTCTTGGGCTTTTGTCCACACGTAAACGGCATCTCAGGTCACTGAAAACGGAGCTTTTGCAAAACTCCAACTAGGGTGAAGATATTAAGAAACTCCATTTTCAGCGTCAACATGTAGACAGGGAAAACGTTTTTGGCTCAAAACGTCAGATTGTGCGCCGTTGCCCACTGTGTTTAACGTCAGAGCGTGCACTGTTTGCTGTATACATTAGGAGAGTTTAAAAAAAAAAACATTAGGAGAGTCTGAGCAATGGCGGACTTAGCCGAAATAGTGGTTGTGCTAACCTTGCTGACAGGACTTCTTACATGTGTACAGATAAATGTTGAGTCACTCTCGCATTATATTGATCAACACAGGCGTCGGAATGATTGGCTAACATGGCAGTACGGTTAGAGTTATAATGCCGTCTGTTGTTTTGGCATGCTTTTGACAGCGCATTTTAGCGGTTTCATGTGGACGTAATTTTTTAGAAGACAATGTTCGTGTGGACGGGGATTTTTTTTAAACGGAGGAAAAACACCGTTTTAAAATATACCCGTGTACGTGTGGACAAGGCATCAAATCAGCCAAAAAATACCGAATTACTGTGAACCGCCAGTAGAGGGAGGAAAACCGCTACAAATAAAGCTCGCCCTCATATCGGAGCAGTGACCATGGTGCAGTATCAGCTTTTCTTATCTTATGCCATATCAATATGCACCAGTCTTGAAAACAGTAAATTAAAATGTAAATACATCAGGTCAGTTGCAGTGTTTTCTTACGTGCTCCATTTCTGGCTTAATATCCTATGCTTAAAAAGTGGTACAGGCAGTTCGAGTTGAAACACGTGCGATGTCATGCTGAAGAAACAGGGATAGTTTTTGCTATTTTTACCCAGTTTCACTTGTTTTTTGATTAGGATGGATATCGATCATTGGACCCTTATGGAATATTATATAGCACTGCATAACACATAGCGAATGTTATCATTAGGACACAATTAAGAAGATTTAACCAGAAACTGTTGTAAACTAAGTAGAACGTGACCATGTAACCTTTAGAGAATACTTCTGATTGTATGTTGTCTCAGTTGTATATTTGCAAGAAAATTGTGTCACTTATATAAACAACAGATGGAGTGACTTCAAGACGGCGTTGCACTTGTTGCCCATTGGTCTATAGCTGGAGACTTGCCTGTCAAATCTAGTAAATATATGTCGTTTATGTCAAACTATAAAAAGAATAACACTTATAGACTATAAATACAGGTAAGATACATAGTAACTGATTCTTTTATTGATCCCCATGGGAAAATTTTCCTTTACCCCTCCCCCAACTTGCTCTCTATAGGTAACAAGCTGACCACAAAGCAGGCACCTGTCTCAGCACCCAGGGAGCTGGGGGTTAAGGGCCTGGCTCAAGGACCCGCAGACGTGCCGAAGCTTGACTGGAAATGGTGACCTTCTAATCACAGGCCGAGAGGCTTCGCTACTGAACCACACACACATTACAAAATGTAAGATATATACACCCAAAATAAAGAATAAAATGCTGGCACATTATTTTTAGAGGTCTTTTGTATTGTGCATCTGACTTGTTTCAGTATTTTCCTTTAATCTCTGCCTTGTGGCGTTGGTTTTGTTTTGGCCTTGTACCTTTTAACACACATATTGTTGAGCGCCTTGTGACCACTGTCTGTAAAATGTGCTCTACAAAGTAAATTTTACTTATTTTAACTTACAAGAACCCAAAAATGTTCCAGTTTGCAAATTCTCCGCACAGATTAACAATAGGAATTCTGACAAATATTCTAATTATTTGGAAAAAACACGAGAACAGGGATTCCAACTTGTTTGGATGCGAGATGCAGTGGGTGCAGATGAAGCTAGTCTGGTAGTCATATACATTTTACATAAACAAATGGAAAAAGTGAGCTAAGATTCTTTATTAATCTACAGTCCATTCTTAGATTATATTAAAACACAGAAGCATTTATTTATTTCACATGAAATCACAAAATAATACATTAAAAGAATATAGCAGGCTAATCTTTCAAAAAACTGGGGTCTATTTGAGTCTTGAGGCAAGCATGAATACCAAGGTGCAGCACTAAACTTTGGCAAGCTCTGCTTGGAGGACTACGCAGGACTATCAGGAGGGTCTGCTTGTCATCAAAAAGCCACATCCAATGAGAGCACAACCACCCACTTGCCATGGTCCCTCACAGTGTGTAAAGGCTCTTATTTAGCCAATGTCGTCTGAACTAATTACCCGCAAGGGGGGAGGGGAGAGAAAAAAAATACCCGGACAGAAACCAGGCAAGAGATAATCAAATCAGGATATAATATCTGTATATATTCAATTAAACCTTTAAAATTCATAACAAAAAAAAAACCTTAAGGAAAAAAAAACAATACATTAAGCACGTTTCAATATTGTTTAGCTTTGAGACTAAAAGATTAGTATGAATTTGGTATTAAGACCAAAAATAAGACAGACAGTCAGAAGTTGTCCATATGATACTCTGGTCCAATCTCTACATGGCCCTACTCGACTAAGAACAGCTCAGACCAGATGAGCTTTGGTGCACACAGGTGAGTGTTAAATGTCTTCATAGTGTTCTCATACAACAATTTTCTCACACTTACACATTCATTGCCGGGTACGTTGGCTAACAATTCCCCGTTAAACGTGCCCTTAAAACTTCTCTAGAGAGTGAAGAGTATGATGTATTAATGTATGGGTTCTCGATTCCTTCACTGGACAACACATTTCGATTTACACAGCCCCTTCTAAAAGCCGCGCAGGGAGACAGAGCTGTCGAAGCTTTAACGGTGCTAGCTGAGGTCTTTGAAGGAACAGCAGCGAGACTGCAGCAGCAGTAGCTGGTCTAATGGATGGAAGAGTAGCCGGCTTTGCAGAGGTAAGCAAGGAATTACCTAAACAAGGTCCACAGACAGTCTACCGAACACAGGCCGGGTTAGGTGTCCAAGAACAATTTACCGTATCCAAAATAATAACAATAAAATTCCTGCTAACCACCTCCTACATGAAGTACCACCTCAATTATAGATTGCACTGGTTTGATTAGGTTTTTCCAATCAAGTTTTGTTAAAACTAAAAAAACGCACAAAAAAAGACGATGTTAGTCTTCGGTGACGGCCTATAAAGATCCTTCCTTGTCCTTTAGTGTCACAATCAATCCCCTCTGTATTCACCAGCAGTAATGAAGATGGAAATTAAGGTGGTCATCCTCAGTCTGCCAACTGGGCCTGGTCCAGTGTTCACGAAATTACATGGACATGTGTTCTGGAAGAACGTAGGAGATGTCATCCCAGGGATGGCGGTACAAACCCTGCTTCAGTCGCTTCTGGTCAAGGTAATGTCCTGTTGGGAAGGGGGGGGGACAAAAGTAAATGAAGGGAGCATTTAAAATCTCACAATGCAAAATGATGTTTCTTAGCTTTCTTGGATCAGGTCGTCCATGTGATTTGACTCACCAATGAAGCCCATACTGCGGCCCAAGACAAAGATTCCATTCAGAGCACCAATCTCCACAAACTCATCTGCCTCGTCCCTGTAACACATCCAATCAGCCGCAGCCTTGAGTAATCGGTGAATGCAGTGTTACAGAAGGCAGTCATAGCCAGCGGGTGAGTTCAGGAGCTCATGATACAAAGCAGACAGGCGCAAAACAGCTGTACATGTTCAGTTCCCCACCTTGTAAATCCACCACATGTCCTCAGTAGGTCCACGAAGGCCACGCCAATGAAACCGTCCACATTCAGGATGAGGTTGGGTTTCTGCAAAACAAGCCCATCATGATGGTATGAGCATCCCAAAGTACCATGCTGAGATTATGATGAGCTGAAAACGTGAAGATAATGCTTTAAGTTGAAGGTCAAGAGAAGCAATGCTATACAGTGGTCACCTTGGATGTGGTGATCTTCTCTACATCCAAGGCATAGTCCAGCAGCTGTGTGGCTGGGAAATGCTGCTTCACAAAGTCTTTGAGGATCTGAACTCTCATGTCCGGGTTGTTGATCTGACACACAGACACATCATGAAACATCAACAGCTTCCCAACTGAAACAGCATCAGCAACAAATTAATCTGTCACTATAGGGTAGCAGTGATGCCTCAATTCTATCACCAGCAAGTAGTGTTGAATATTCTTCAAATGATTTAATATTACAAAATGCTACGTACTTCTTTGTTTTTGTTTAATTGATCTGTTAGTTTGTTTTACACTCTCCCAGGATAGTTGATATTGTTCTTGGTGCATTTTACGAGGGAGGACGGTAGATTAACACGGTGCATGGTGCTCACCGATTTCACCCTGTGCCCAATTCCCATGATCAGCTTGCCCTCCTTCTTCATCTTGTTGACAAACTCCATGGGGAGCAGGCCGCTGTCGAAGGCCTTGCTGAACTGCCGGGCGGCGGCGTCAAGAGCCCCGCCGAAGCGGTCGCCCTGCAAGAGCTCATTTCAGGTCATCATGCTTGGACACACTTATAGCAAAAACACTAAAGAAAGGGCAGTTTGCTGGCTCATCCTGCTGTTTCAAGGCTATTTGTGCATTTCTGAAAATGGTCGGTGCTGCTGGGCATCAAAAATAGAATACTCAATTCAACAAAACAGGAACAGAGCCGCCGGTGTTCTGACTGTGTAAAAGGGGCCTTTATGAATAGAGGGGTCAGAGAAAAGCACCAGGCAGCTGAGCCACTAGAAAAGGACATTTGTCAAATGGACATTTCCAATTGAAGGATAGGCTTTCCATTCGAACCTGGGATCTTAGGCCAAAGGCACTAAAAACTAGAAGCTGCCCCATATTCTGAGCAGGCTGGGTGGCCCCATTGGAGAAAACCAGCTGACAATTTAGGGGCAAATCATGTTCACATCAGCGATGTTTAGATGTAGCTGCAAAATATGCCGTGGCACGGACCAGACTATGTATGACTGTTATGGACTGGAGCTGTACAGTAAACAAAACCTGAACAGCAGAATGACAAGAGGACGTGGAGCCAATCTGAACGTACCCAGAACATGAGCCTCAAAATGAGGTCAAGTTTTACACAAATCATACAGAAGGGCAAACAATATAAATCACAAGGAAAGGAGCAGCATAAAATTATAATATTTTTTATATATGTGAAATAAGGAAAACATTAGAGAGACTGATACACATTAGGACAGCAGATCACTGTGGGCACAGAAGGAACACAGCGAACATCTTACGATAGTTAGCAGGCCTGATGTCAGGCTGGAGATGAGGTCCTTGCCCGCACGGGCACAGACGATGGTGTTGTGGGCACCGGAGACAGCAGGGCCGTGGTCTGCGGTCACCATCAGGCACATCTCGATAAACTGACAGGCATACCGTGGTAACCTGCCACAGACAAGCGGGGCTGTTTATGCAGGCATGCAGACCTGGTCATCATTCAGGACACAAGCTCCTAGATCTGTAAGGCTTAGAAATCTCATGAAATGTCAGCCAAAAAAACCAAGCAAGACTACTTGTAAACCAGCTTTCAGAAACATTATATTCTACTGCACACAAATTCAGAAGAATAATTCTGAAGTGATTTTAGAAAAAATATTTTCCATAAAAGTTAAACCACACTAAAGAAACCATCAGCAACCTGAACTACAGTTGAAAGCGATTTCAAAGTCTTTCCAATAAACAGTAATGTGCAGAGTGCCCAGGAGTGGCATCCTCAGGGTTCACTCACCTCCTCTGGAACCAGAGAAGCCCCAGAACCCCTCCCAGGCCCATCTCCTCCTTGAAGACCTCAGTGATGGGCATGCCGGCATAAATGAGCTCCTGGCCCCGCTCGTCACAGATGCTGGTCATGAAGGAGGCGGGCTTACGAATCAGGCCCAGCTCCTAGGACAGTCAGAGATGTGCGGACAGTCAGATCACTGCAGGCAGCAATGCAGACAGGAGTCGCCTGGAATGCCAAGGGACCTACCCTTGCCCAGGAATAGTCCATTGGTACTGTTGGCGGAGGCACCTCTTGTGCAGGAACTATGACTCCATTTACAACGAGGTCATCATACACTTTCCTATAGAATATAAAAAACAAAAGCATGCCAATGTGACAGGGGTGGAATTCAGACTTCTCTGTGTGGACTTTAGATCTACTCCAAAACCTCACTGCATAAGCATTCATTTAGGCCGGAATTCTGATCCATCAGAGCACATGTTTGTGTTGAGGGCAGTTCCAGCCATCTGCCACCATGAGCTGTGTGCGCTGCAGGGTGTGCCCACCTGATCACGTCTCCCAGTTCATCGAAGCTCGGGGGCACAAAAGCCCCAGCCTCCCTGAGGGCCTGATTCTTGGCCACAGCCGTCTCCGAGGCCTGGTTGGCACAGGCTCCGGCATGGCCAAACTGCACCTGAGAAAAGCACCAGCCCATCGGGGTCAGCTTCATCCACAACACCTACTGGAGCTACCCTCTGCCTAGCAAATTCTTTCATAATCTAACTTCCAGACTCTGCCAGCTCCTCACTTCTATCAATCCTTACAGATGCTTTGGTACTTTGTAATTGTATATGATTTGGTTGTGGTTCCTCTGAAGAAAGAAAAACAACACTGAAAAATGCATAAATAATAAGGGCTGTGAATCAATAAAAAAAAAAAGTTATACGAGATTAATCGCAATTAATTGGGCGTAACATTAAAACTTTTTAAAAATAAAACAAACCAGGTAACATCAGCTTCACTGATAGACGCTAACTGGATGTTTTGATTTCAGCTTTGAATTTGGGGATTCCATGCAACGTCAGGACCTAAACTCACAGTTTTTACAACCAAGAAGGATTATTATGTCTTTATTAAAAATCTTTGGTCATACTACCATTTGAGTATCAAAATACCACATGTGTTAGCCTGATTACTTACATGATCACGTCATACACAATAAGTCTCGTAGTCCTACTAATAATAATCATCCTTAGCATAGCATTCAGACAACTGACACGCTTCTTCCTCAGTCCAAAATGGCCACACACCTCTGAGGAGAACATGGTGGCACAGGTTCCAATGCACCAGCAGACCACAGGTTTGCTGATTCTGCCCTCCTTGATTCCCTGGCAGATCTTGTACTCCTCTGTACCTCCAATCTACAGCAAAGGAAAGCAGTTGAGGCCCAGCTCTGGTGCAGCTGCTGTGAGTGGTGTGTATGTGTGAAACACATTACGTAATGTTTGCCTCAGAATGATTAACGATCGGCAGATATGTGTATTAAAAGGTGGAGAGCTTGCCAGGGGAGCCGAACACGATCATTTCTTTTACTCCAACGACGTTAACAGTGAAATATTTCGTAATTTGCTAATTGAACAGCAGAGAAAGTGCAGAGAATGAAGTGCACGAGTGGTACTTGCCTCTCCCAGGACGACAATCATCTTCACCCCAGGGGTGTCCTGGTAACGCAACACATGTTCCATGAAAGTAGACCCAGGGTATCTGCAGGACACACAGGAGACATGCAGAAATCATTTTTGTGTTTACACAGGCGGTCCTCAGGTTATGAATGAGATAAAGTAATTTGTAGGCAAGTCAGAAAAATAATAAGCTACATAATAAATAATAAACTAATAATTATTGACAATATTACTACAGTAAACTAAAGTTACTACATTCCACGCTGCACCTCAGGCAATGGTCCACTGAAGCCATGCACTATTTTCAGAAGCGTAACAAGCATACGTGCAGTTCGTATTAAATCTATTAAATTTAAAATAAGAATTCCCTGCTATAAAGCCTAAGTATAAGTTGTCCCTAAGTCACTAATAACATTCTTAACCCAGGGACTGCTAGTACACAGTACTTCACTGGGAGCCACTGGAGGATAATTACTTTGAGATTTTCTTATGTTGTTTACTGTAATCAGACATATTGTCAAATCAAATTTTCCCATTATGTGAGGGACTGATCTAAACCAATTAAAATCTCTATTGCAGCCACATTACAGATTTGCGCATTAACAGTTTGATGAAGCATCACTTGTAACATGGCACTCTGAAGGCAGCATAACCCTCGAGGACCGAAGCAGCACCATCCTCACCTGTCTCCCCCAATTGCTACACCTTCAAAGACTCCATCAGTCGTCCGGGAGATGATGTTGTTGAGCTCGTTGGACATCCCCCCTGAGCGGGAGACATAGGCCACGCTGCCAGGTCGGTACAGCTTGGAGGCCAGGATATTGTCTAGCATTCCCCCAGTGTTCCCAATCTTGAAGCAGCCGGGTTTGATGCCGCCCACCTGCAAGGGTCCAAATGCATAAAGCGAAACTGTAACGGGACCTCAGTGCTCATTCAACATGCAGCATTTCTGGTGCCATCAGTAGTGCTGAGGTATAGAGAGGAACAGGCACAACCATAACCATCACTGCATAGGCTCCTAGCTCCAATGAACTGTCAATTATGTATAGCTAAACAAAACCAAAACTGGATGAGAGTTTATTCCAAAGTATCCCACAAGTACTATTAGGACAACACACAACTGCTTTCTGCACAATTATGCAGAGTTGGCTAGTATTGTGATAAAAACACAGGGATTTCAAAAAATAAATTACAGTTGAAAACTACCCACAGAGGCTAAAACCAAGGGTTGTAGATGAATACACACAAAAAATATTGTTATAGGGTTTGTCTTGGCACCACAACAGAAAATGACGTTACATGAATGTAGGCAGTAATTTCATCAAGCAGATTACTGCCCAGAATCCATGTGTTGCCAAAAGAAAGTCGGAAAATGAAGAAAATGATTTCCTCCCCTCAGCATTTCTGCCTCAGTTCCTCGGGGTTAAGTCCAGGGTTATCATCATATCTGCACATCTAAGCAATGTTGTGACACAAGGCTGCCTGCTTTCCAATGCAGAGAACAGCAGGAGTGGCAGCCAGAATGAAGCAGAGCCTACCGTAGCCGGGCCAATGATGGTGACACCCTTCTCGTCCGCCATCTTGATGAGCTTTCTGGTTAGGGCTTCTGGGATGCCCTCAGCAATGATGGCAATGGTACGGATCTGGACAGAGAGAAACCGCCTTGAGTGAAGATGTGCTTCTCAAAAGGGGGCTATTCAGATGAGTTTAGGAGACCAACATGTTGGTTCTGTGGACAATGTAGGTTCACATAGGACAGGAGCCGTAATCACATATAGCCTAAGCCATTCCACCCCGCTCACCTGGGAATACTGCATGGTCTCCACAGTGCTGTCATAGGCAGAGCGCAGCGAGGCGAAGCTGATGAGCACATCCACCTCAGGGTGCTTCCTCATGGCATCCGCCATGTTCTTGTAAACTGGCAGCAGGATTTCTTTGTGGCCCCAGTAAAACTTCTGCTTGTGGTCGCCGCTGAAATGTACGCACGTGAAATCAGTACCAGGTGATCCAGACGAAGCATTTTGAGCAACTCTGCTGAGAAGCCACAAAGTCCCACCAAGTAATTTCATGTATTCACACAGCTTAATACCTGATCGAAGAGGTTGAAACCTCCACAGGTATAACAGCAAGGGCCTTGCAAGACCCACTCATAATGTTTGGGTTACAAATCCAGGTTCTCAACAATCATGAGGACAATAGCCTCCGCTTCCACATGGCAGTATGACAGGAGAGAGCTTGGCACCTACGTGAAAGGGTACACCATGGCAGCCACTGAGGGCTCGTCCCGGGAGCAGACGTAGTCGAAGTCCAGCATGCCCTGAACTGCTCGTGTCTGCATGCCCCACACGATGGACTTGGTGTGCTTGCTGAAGAGCGTTGTGGCTTTTGCTGTGTGGGACGGGGAGGATAAGGGAAGAGTCATTTTTCAGACCTCAAATGCACCTAGAGACAGCTGAGCACCTTCACCTCATCAGCAAAACAATCCTGTTTGGTGACATCGCTTTGAAACACCTTGTTGCTGGTCAGGCAGGTATTAATAGGTACAGTACAACGGCGGAAAACAGGTATCAAGCCAAGTGGATCAGGAAACAGAAGCAAGGCGACGGGATAGACACACACAGGAAAAATCATTAAATAACCAACAGGGAGGCGTACTCAGTCAAAAGGCCTCAACAACACGACACAGGGGGTCTCATGGAGTGACATCATTGTTTATAGAGGGTTTTAAAAATGCTCCAGTAGCCAGAATTAGAGACACCTAATTCTCAGTTCATCCAACATCCATCTACCAGTTGATTTTCAACATATTGACCGTTAATCTCTCCCAGGAAGCACAGGGCAGGGTAAATATCAAGGAAATATGAAAATAAAAATATGAACAGTAAGTCATTACTTTGGCAAGTACACAAATCAATATCCAAACCCTTTTTCTCAGTCCAAAAGGTTGAACTCTGAAGTACTAAAAATAGCCAAATGAAGTCCATTCTCCATCCTTAGCTGGAAGACATAACACACCTACACATCTCCAACTGTTTGTTTTGGGCCTGAATGCATAATGGGAGTCATGCATAAAAGACACACTTTCAATAACAAACATGTCAAAAGCCAAAATACTTAAAGCAATAAGAAAGACAAATGCATAAAAATATATTAAGGTTGTGCTCTATCCTCCAGCTAAAAATCGATTAAATTTTCCACTTCAGGACAGCACATGCTAATTTAAGCTAAAATCGCACACGTAATGCATTGCACCTCTTTTTGGACTGAGTTTGCTTTAGTAGAATTTAGACCGGGGGGCTCAGGGGCAACAGAAAACATAAAAAGAGGGGTGGCAGGGTTGCATGGTGGCTGACGTTAGCCAGACTTGCATGACTGACACTGTAGCTATGGCAACCAACGGCCACATTCACCCAGTGGTGTTGAGGTCAGAGGCAGCCACAGAACTGGGCACAGAAAATGTTTGGTTTGTCCAATGGGGGAATCATTCTGCATGGATTCTGGGCAACGCGAGTAGACAGAGAGCATGGGGCCCAGATACCACATCGCAGGCTCACATGGCACGCTCACATGGCACGTCTGGTGTTAATGTCAGTCACCTTGGCAACCACTCTTAGGCACCAGCCAACGCTAAAGGAGCAGCAATGACCCCACAGCTTAGGGGGCTGCGGGGAGGCCAGCAGGCAGCCCAAGCCTGTCCTACCTCCAGCTCTGTCAGAGGAACTCTGCTGTTCTGTCACATCACCAGGTGACAAGAGACATCAGCAACAGAACAGTAAAAGTAGGAAAAAAATAATAATTCACATTATGCAAGCTACAGGTAGAATAAAGCAACAAACAGGTAAAAATCAGCCATACTTTATGCAAGCATAAAGTACCTTTCACTCCAATACATTTATTTAACAAAATGACTACATTTCTAAGCTTGCAATAGATACAGCAACTGCATCCAGTAGCATTTAGACATGGACTGACTTGTACAATGTGCTGTGCTGAGAGGAAGCATTTTTCTGATTTATTCCTTTTTAAGTTTAGATAGAATTTAACTACATTTCATTTCAAGCGGATCAAGGTGTTTGACAAGATTCACTTATTACACTAAATATACACTTGCAACATAGCACTAGATTTTAACACGTGTGCAGACATCCAAACAAACCAAAAACCAATGACCTTTGATAGGTCCTGATACACACCAACACAGCCAGGTTAATGGTTAACGTGTTAGTGATGTCCAAAACTGCATATACCCATAATTCCATTTTTTATATAGGGACATTTATAAACATTTTACCAAAAAAGGGGGTCTCTTTCACATTGCCCTGCAAACCTTTTATGGCGCTCAATATTGGAACACACACACAAAAGGAAAACTAAAAAGTCCAACATGAGAAAAGCAGAAAACCAAGACCAGCCCCCCCGAGACCTCGATTAACATGCTTACTAAGCACTTACACAACACTTGTGCCCCACACCAACACACACCTTCTGTAGCAACTGTGCATTACAGCCAAAAACCAATTCCACACGCTACTTAAGTGCAAACATTTGCCTTTTCAGGGGTTTGTGTCCACAGCAAATTGGTTACAGAACCAGGAACAGCCATTTGCATTGACTCCATAATCAAAACAGAGGAGTCAGTACAAAATGTTGTGATTTGTTCTGCATTGTTAGTACCACAAGCAGAGGCAAGGTTACAGCTTGCAAGAAAACTTACCTATGTCACTTCCTGTGAAAGCATCCTTCAGACACCAAGCGCAGTAAGCAGTAGCTTACAAATTTGATCATGGAAAGACACAGTCAATATCAAAGAAAAGGAGGAGACTGAGTGGGGGAGGGATGGCAAGTGGTTAACTGTGAGAAATGTTGGAGCAACACAGGGTAACCCAAGGGACCTCGGGGAAGCTGGGGAAGCAGATGAGGCTTGAAGCATGTGTGAAAGTGGCAGAGAGGTGTGTGATCAGGAAGGGAGTCTAGAGGTTCTGACCAGAACGTGGATATAAGAGGGTATGATACACATTACTGTGGCTTCCCACAACCCAAAAAGGGAGACTTTCTATACAGTTGTAAAGTAAAGCAAATTGCTAAAGTTTCCTGCATGAGGCAACCCATCTGCTTTTGAAGTGTTATTAGACTGAAAAATACTCAATAAAGGAAACAAAACTGAATGGGTCACACTGCCCAATATGGGTGGGAATTGCCACAGAGGTGACGTACAATGCTATAATGATGTTAGGGCCATAAGATATTATGCGATTCTTTACATTTTATGATACAGCAAGTATTGTGATTTAATTGTACAAACATTGCGATTTATTGCTCGCATATATTATTAAAGAGATCTCTCCTGTTTCACTTCCACGGGTACCACTTAACTCCGGGAGCCCTCAAGTGGCTCAAATTTCTGGGGTACTTCATTTTCATGTGGCATTGCACTCAAATACCATGTTGCAAGTCAAGTTCATTATACACTGTATTGTGGAAGCTGAAAGAAACGCACACTCTCAATTTGAAAGCAGACGGCGCATCCCATATCTCCACAGCCATTTTGGCGACTATATTTCCAATGTGGTGCAAGAGCAGAACAAGGCCTTGCACCAGCTTGTAGAAGCAACATTATAAAAGTGTAGCCATATGTACCAAAATAGAGTAATATAAAATTAAAATGATAAAATATTAATTAAATAAATAGATACCGCGATGCTTTGTGCCACTATATTGATATCATATTGGGCCGGAAAAAAAATTGTGACACTACACTGTATTGATTATTCCCCTCACACCTCTGCTGCCCAGAAAGCCCTGCAGGGACACTGGTAAGCAGCACAGTGGTGGAGAATCTGCACAGGAAGTTCCCAGAGAGATTGTTTGCATGGCATGAGTAGAGTGTCAGGGAATCTTCACAGCAGCTCCTACCAAACCTCCTAACTGACTTTTGAGTCCCACTGAACTATTTAAACTCTTAAAAACTTACACAGAACTAAAAATCAACAGAGTGCCATTTTCATGTCAAGAAATCACCTACAGCCACTGCGAGACTAGCAGAAAAGCAGTAGTTACCTGGTGGGATGCCAGATGCTAGTCTTTTTGCAGGTGTGACATCACTGGGAGAGTTGGATTCAGAGAAGGAGGCCGTCCTGCTGGTAGCTGGAGTCTAGTGAATGGCACACATGAGGATTCAGGTAAGGAGATTCAGATTGATGAGGAGACCATTGACCAACATGATAAACAAAATCAGCCAGAGAAATGAGACAAGTGCACCAATCAGAATGGTGTGTATGGTTCCATGCTGGGTAATTTTGGGGATTGAGAGCTCTAACTGCAGTCTCCCATTAACCTAAATAAACTTTACCCCCCCCCCCAGTAAAACTCAAGAACATTAAAAACTCAACAAATAATATTCAATAAGGAAGGTAGTCTTGGCATGTTTACACATGTAGAGTTTCAGCTTTAGGTTGTTTTCGTTTCTGTAGTAACAGAAGATAAGAAATTTACAAATGAGAGAAGGCCAACATCAAGCTTGTTTGGGGAGAACTTAATTAATAGCTCAGAGTTGTTAAAATCTTATCTAGCTCTGATTTAAAGGAACTCAGGGTTTTAGCTTGCACTACACTAACAGGAAGACTCTTCCATACTCTAACTACATGCTGTGTAAAGAAATTCAGTTTAAAATGTTCTCCCGCTAATTTCCACCTATGGCCACGAGTTCTAGTATTTAAACTAATATTAAAAGTAGCCATTTGGCTGAACAGCATCAAGACCCGTTAGAATCTTATATACCTGGATCATGTCCCCGCGTAATCTCCTTTGCGCGAGGCTGAAAATTCAGCTCAGCTAACCTCTCATCATAAGACATTCCTCTAAGACTGGGAATCATTCTTGTAGCCCTATGTTGAACCCTTTCCAAGGCAGCAATGTCCTTTTTAAGGTATGGTGACCAAACCTGCACACAATATTCTAGGTGGGGTCTTACCAAGGAATTGTATAATCGTAGCATCAGCTCCCTTGGATTAACCTCCACACACCTAGAGACTCAACATCCTATTGGCCTTTTTTTATTGCTTCCCCACACTGGCGAGAGTGGGACATGGAAGCATCAACATACACACTGGGATCTTTCTCATAATAAGCTACCTTTATTTCAGTGGAACCCATAAAATATCTGTACTTGAGTCCCTGCATGGATTACCTTACATTTATCTTTGTTAAATTTCATCTGCCAGGTATCAGCCCAGTTACTAATTAAATCAAGATCCTGTTGTAGCCTCTCTGCTGCTAATTTAGTATCTGCTACACCACCCACCTTGGTGTCATCTGCAAATTTAACCAGTTTACTGTATGTATTGGTGTCAATGCGCTCTATGGGAGACAGGGCTTTCAGTGTGGCTGGTCCTAGATTATGGAACTCTCTCCCTCTTGCACTTCGTCAATGCACTGAATTTTCTACTTTCAAAAGACTACTGAAAACTCATCTCTTTTTACTGGCTTTCCATACATCACCCTGAAACTCTCATCACTGAAAGATTAGTTCTCTTTTACACTGTGATTTGTTCGTTTATTTTTAACTGTATTTCGGTATGAACTTACTTCACTGTTTCTTTGTGGGGCATGTTCTTGATTTTTATTGTATTTATTGTTTAATTAGTGATTTTATTTTATTTCATGTACGGTGTCCTTGGGTGACCTGAAAGGCGCCTTATAAATAAAATTTATTATTAATATCATTAATGTAAATTAGGAACAATAATGGTCCTAAAATTGAACCCTGCGGTACCCCACTATGAACGCAGGCCCACTGCAACATTGTGCCTCCAATAACTACCCACTGCTTCCTGTCAGTTAACCAGTTTTCGATTCAAGCTGCTACAGTTCCTAAAATCCCTGCAGCTTTGAGCTTAAGCAAGAACCGTTTGTGGGGGACAACATCAAAGGCCTTCTGGAAATCTAAGTAGATCACATCATAGGCGTTTTTGTGATCAATTTCTCTTGTAGCTTCCTCAAAGAACTCAAGTAGATTAGTTAAACAGGACCTACCTCTCCTAAATCCATGTTGGCTATCCCTCAGAATGTTATTTGAATCCAGGTAATCTACCATTTTCACTTGGATTATAGCTTCCATTACCTTTCCAGTTATGCAAGTTAAACTGATTGGCTTATAGTTTGCTCGATTACTTCTATCCCCTTTTTTGAATATGGGGGTTATATTAGCATGTTTCCAATCAGGTACCACACCAGCAGATATGGATTTCTGAAATAGTAAAGTTAAAGGTTGGCTAATAATATCTCTCATCTCTTTTAAAACTATAGGTAAGATGCCATCAGGGCCCTGTGATTTATTTATTTTGAGCTTAGCTAGGCTTTGTACCACATCAGCCTCAGTTATACATATATTGGTCATAAATGACGCTGAATTTGTACTAAATGGTGGCAGGTTACTTGTGTTCTCTATTGTGAACACCCATGTAAAATAATCATTAAACTCATTTAGTATATCAATTTAATTTTCAATTATAAGACCCATACTATCCTGCAGATTTCAGCTTTTAGAGCTCTTTTGGAGTTAAAATATTTGAAGAAACTTTTAACGTCATCCTTAGCCTCCACTGCAATCTTCCTTTCTATATTCTTCTTAGCGAGTCTAATGTTATTTTTAACTCAACCTGTAGACTTAAAATATACTATGTTGCAACACAGCACACTTATTGCAGCCTATAACAAAGCAAACACCATCGCAGCTTTACCGAGAACCACCCAGCTGAGTCACCTGCTTAAATGCTAACATTTTTAAAGAGCAGCAACGGAAACACATGGGGGATAAAAAAGGACGAACCGAAACACTGGCACTGGAGTTGAGCAAGAAGTTGGCTGTGTGTGCAGCCACGGGTGGCTGATTGGGGATCGGCCGGTGGCCCAGTGCCATGCCGACGATGGCTGTCATGTGGGTCTCTGTGCCAAAGACATGGATGGGAATGCCAGTGGTCTTTCCTGTGGAGAAGAAACAAACAGAGGATCAAATGGACTACTGTGAAGCAGAAATTCTCTAATCAAATAATCTGAGTATGAAAACTGGCTTTAAGGTTGCCATTCTTGAGTAAATGAGCTTAAAATGAATGCAAGTCATTCACACTGAAACTGAAAACCCTAAGAACACATGTCACTCAGGTTGTAGCTGTAGTTCAGACAAGGGCTAACTCACCTACTTCTCCCATCACCCTCAGCCCCTCCTGATAGTTGGGGCCACCACGACGCACAAAGATGGTGACCTCATGCTCCTTCAGTGGGCCCTGGTAGTCCTTAATGGCCCTCACAATGCCCTGTGGAACAGGGAGACAGTCAATGTAGTCTGAGGACAGACCTAGAATATAGAAATCCCCAGTAAAACAGGGTCTGCACAATTCACCTCTGAAGGACAGGGGACCCAGCTCCTACCTTGAAGGTGGCTGCGACATTGGTGAAGTTGGCAATGCTACCGCCAATAATGAGGACTTTTCCTTTGGGAACAAGAAAACAACCAATCAATGCTGCGGGAACCTGAAAGCAGCTCCTCCTTAAATTAATTTAAATGGGAAAAAAAAAAAAAAAGAATTCTTCCCGTGCACTAAATGCTCAAAACCCACATATTATTGCCCTAGAATGGCATTAGCTATCAAAATTATCTTCAGTGATATTGAACTGCTTGGCACCCAACTGTTCAAGCAGCCCATGTTATGATCTTTAACGCGAAGCACAACAGCAGCACTAATCACTCGACGTGGCCCAGCAGCCTTGAGAGTTTTGCAGGGCAGCTCACCGTCTGGGTGCTTCTCTCGGGTCATCAAGGACAGGATGGTCTTGGCGTAGTCGTAGGTCTGCTGCTCGCTTGGGGCCCCTGAATACTCGCCGTAGTTGGCCAGCTCGTCCACTCCACCCAGGTCACATATTGTGTCACTGCAACAAATGAAAAACAGAATTCAGCTGTGCTAAAGACGGTTTTTAGACAGTTACAGAAAAGCAGCTGCTTGGAAAATTAAAAGATTTTCATTGCACTTCCGATTGCGAAAAGCATTTACTTTTTATTAAACACAAGCAGATTCCCACTAAAACACCAGCCACTGAACTTCCAATCGGAAGTGTTCCACTTCAGTCTACTAGAGACTTTGACACCTTAACTTAAAGAAGAGGAAAAAGAAATTAAAAAAAAAATCCCTCAATCCAGGATATCTTTTCTGAGTTTAGAGCTCTTCCTGAGTTTTCTTCCTCATACTAGAGCTGGGAAACTCCTTTTTAAGAGACATTCAATTTTTATGACAACAGAAAAACAATTAAATTTCTTTGAATGATGAATTCAGTGAGGCTTTGGAAAGAAACAACAAGGTAGGCAAAGGAGTGAGATTTCTTTGCATATAAATGGTAAGTTGATAGAAACGCTTTGGAGCAGCTTTTCTTTACTTCCAGTCAACACGCTTACCTGCAGATATCTACTGTGACTGCGCCGTGACCCACCTGTAAACCACAGACGCCCCGCCCCCAGCCACCATGGTCCAGATCCTCCCGCGTGGGTTAAGCACTGTAAGCTTGAGACTGGCCCCACTCTTAGCATCCAAGTCTGCGATGTAGGCCTCCTATAAGAGAAGGGTATAGGCCTGTTTCAGTACACCTCCTTCTTGCAGGCCCACTGTTCAAGCACTGCATGGCGAATAACATAACGCAGTTTATGACTGCATAATGTGATTCTGACAGTCAGATGGGCCTCTGGCATCCTTACTTCAAATGTGCAGAGTTTAATGATACTGTCTGGCTCTTTTCTCCAAGGAAGAGGAGATAAGAAAGGCAAAAGTGTCTGAGCCCAATTACACATCACCAATCTAGCACAGCAACAATGATGAGAAAATCTGACAAAAAGGACCTGATCTTAGGTCATACCATGACTTGGAGGCCCAAGAAGAAAGTCATTACAATCTCCAGATATCCGTCACGTGGATTTTAGTCATCTATTTTTTTTTTGCATGCTCCTGAACATGCTTATGTGCAGCTACAAGAATCGTGGCCAGCTGGCAATCCCGTCACTATCCCGCCAGGGCAACTGATGAGTCACACAATGTGTTCACTCTGGAGGTTATTAATAGATTATTCTGTATGATGCTGCCCTGTGATGCAGTGAGGTGGATTCTGAATGAGTCAAGCAATGCGCCATTAAACACGCTGATCAACAACCAACTGGAGTAAGGGTGGAGTAAGCACTATGATGCTATACCCTCAGAGGCCATGAGGTGAACAGGAACAGCTAATCATGTGGTGGCAACAGAATATATGCAGCATGCAGACAGCTGGCTTAACCTTTTGACCCTAAGCATTAGAACGGCTAAGATGTAGGATCAAAGACATTTTAAATGTGGTGTAGCTATTGGTGTCAAGAACTACATTCCGCAGAAATAAGTGGGTCCTACCCTTTCTACACCTAATAAGGCGGCCACTGAGTAATACACAACATAAACAGCAGAGTGAAATGCTACTATACCTAGGTCAAAAAAACAAACATTGCTTGCAACTCCAAGGTCAGCTTTAGTCCACAGATTGCCCTCTAAGAACTACAGGGTCGATAATGACAAACAGTGTCCAATATGGTGTTTCTCGTGTCCATTTATTTCTTTGATGTGATGCCTGGTTTCTCACCTCCGGATAGGCCTCTCTCCCGAAGGGCGGGGGGAACGCCACGTCGCCCCACTTAGCCTTGCAGATATAGTCTGCTGTTGCATCGATCTTGGCAGCCATGTCTAGCACGTACACACCATCTTTGGTAACCACTGAAGGAGACAGAGGAGACATTACTCTGAATATGTTGGAACTGCAGCCAACATCACTATCCTTTTGCATCGCCGTGCGTTATCATGTCATCATTCAGAAGAAAAGCATCACTTACCAGCTCAAAACATTGGCATGCAATATTTTATTACAAACAAAACTAGGATGATAACTAGTATCAGCAACTCTTTAACTTTCACAACAGTGAGCATGCGGAGCTCATCTTTTTAACAGGTGTAAGATTCAGAAGCCTATAAGAAAGGACCAGAGATAACAGACCATGGCAGATATCCCCCATGCCCTACTTTTCCAAACTCTCAGCAACAAATCCCTATAGCCTGTGAACCTTCTGTGTTCCTCTCACCCACAGCCAGTTGAGTCACTGGAGTCGGTTTGACAGGGTGGAGACTGGGACACATTGCATTGTGGAGCCATTATTCCCATTGAGTTACCAATACCACAGCATGCATCTGTAGTTCTGCTGCATGTCCGATGAGTAAGTTCCAGTGAAGGGCCTAAGGCTTTTATATGGAGAACTCCACCAGCTCTACAGATGCAGTCATAAGAGCAATAAAGGTCAGACTCTGTTAGGCTTCATTATGGAATTGGGTGAGGTAGGTGTGGATATCTTAAGAAGGGGAGTCAGATGACTGGGTGTGTTTTATGATTCACTATAAATATGAAGAGAACGACTATTTCATCCCTAATGAAGAGATCTCAACAGCCACCCAGTCATTCAATCCAGATTCACTTCCCTGATGTCCTGTCCAACTTAATTTTTTGTGTCCTTGTCCCCCCCCCCTCCCTACATTCATGTCTTTGAACCCTGTTTCAGGGAGCTAAAGCACATAAGAAATAGAAAAAAACAGAAGTGGGATTTGCACACTGAAGACTTGTTCAAAGGATGGTATTAGGCAGTGACATCTGCTGCAAGGCCTCATTTTAAAAGATCAGTAATCCACCGCTTTCACAGATAGAAGCAATTCATTCTGGAACTGACTAATTTCTATCATGTGGTGAAAACGAGCAACTTCTGTTGGTAGGTTTTAACATTAAGCCAATTAACATTTTAACAGCTTCTAATTATAGTATGCTTACATGCTAATGGTGTTTCAATGCTGAGTCATTTGATGCATCAGAGTCTCAACTACAATAATCGTAATTACTTCAGGGACTGAGGAATGCCAGGAAAGTATCGGCATATTAAAATAAAGAAATAAAGCCTTTAGACATCGTAATGAATCATTAATGAGTCAGCTGGCTAGTCTGAAAGGGCAGGTACACTTTCACAAACTGCCACGTAAAGCAAAAGAAAACCAAAGGACATTCCTTTCCTCCGTGTGTGTTTGTGTGTTAATCAACTAATTATTAGTTATTATTAAATGTCCCCCACAATGTAATATAGAACTTATTTTGTTGTACATTTTTCAGGTCCCCACAAAGATCTGTGAATGCATTCAAAAAACTAAAAATGCCAAAAGCCTCATATTTAGTTTGGT